TTTTTTATCTGCATACACATGTCATAATGTTTATTTATTTAAAATTGAAATGTAAACAATGAAATCAATTAGGTATAAAATCTCTGAAGAGATCTCTTCAAAGATTTTTTCGCTCTCATAAATCTTGAAAAACTTGAAGGCAACTTTGATGCTAATTTCGAAGCCAGAGTTTTGAATAGAAAATTAAATTTTTAACTTATTATCATATCTTGCATACGCTGGCAAGTCTTTAGTAAGAAGCTTTAATTTCCGACTTTGAAAGAAATTCAATTTATCATTTTCATAGAACTTAAGAAACTGTTCACGATGCATACACAAGATGGCAAATGAACAGATTGTTGGAAAGTTAAATTATTTATGAAGAACTTGTTTATCAGTATCTAAGTAAATTGAAAACAGCTTCTAAGTGAACTTTAAATGAACACGAAGCACTGACAAGTTTTACTGAAATTTAATCTCGTTAATTTAAATATTCTCGGGTCGTATGACAAACTGTAATTAATTTCAATTCTCGTCACTATATTAAGATACACTAAGTAATTACTCAGTTTAATTAATTTTAAATTTCACAAACAAATTTGTCTTCAAATATTTCAGATGTGATGAAAGTCAACAGTAAGTTTTATATGCCGATAGAACTTCTAGACAAGTTAAAATGATCAACTTTTAACAATCCTGCAACCCTCCTACTTACGTTCAAAAATAACGAAATGAATCTCATGATAAGAACACAGCTAATAAACATTTCTGTTTTCCACATCGTTGATATTTATTCCAACTTTAGGCTTTATGAAAAACTCACAAAGAAAGAAACAAAAATAATTTCACTACCGTTTTAGATATCTATGTAGAAATCGTAGAAATAAATTTCTTTGTGTGGGATTGAATTTAACATGACGAACTCAACAGAAGCTTTTTCTTTTATTCAGCAATAAACACTGAATTATTAAATTCGGTTAAAAACGGTAGAAATACTTTTTTTTTCTGCAAACAAGAAAACATTCAATGTTAATTGTAAACATTTTGCGGATTTTTAATGAGATTCTCTTCTTCCCTCTTAGTAACTCTTCATGTGTGAGACAAAAAAGAAGAAGAAGGAAAACTCAACAAATGTAAAAATGAAAAGCTTTTGAATTTTTATTCATATGGGAAATGAAATTTTATTAATTTTTCCTGAAGCTTGACAAACAAACACAGAATGCAGTGTTGGGGAAAATGAAGGGAAAAAAGGTTTCAATGCTTTAGATTATCTAAATATACGTTACTAAACAATATATTTATATTCATATGTGATATTTGCTACAAAATAAATTTGTAAGTATATGAATGACAAAAATTTTACATTTAAATCGTCAACAACAGATGAATGATTGGTCAACAGCAGTGACAAAGCCATTTTTAAGATTCATCAGTTTATTATTGCCATTTGAAGTGATAAGTTTCGGTCCTTTCGTTTAAGAAAGGCACGACAACGACGACGACTATCAAATATCATTTTTAAGCAAGAAAGGAAAACTTTAAAATGTTTCAAGAGAAAATTTCCATTTTTTCATATTTAAAGTTTCTCAGAAAAAAAGTTTCTTTTAAAAGTATTTCAAGCAAGTTAAAGGCTTTTCTTTAATAATTATTATTACGTTTTCAAATAAATTTCTTTGTTTTGATTGTTTAGATTATCAAAAATATAAATTTCTTCTTACAACTCAAATGTTTTGTTTTAATTGCGATTCTTCTGATGCATGTTCGTCATGATACTGAGAAGCTTCTCACATCGTCTCCGGTTGTTAATCAACAAAACTTTCTTCAACTTATCTGAAGATGAAAACATTTTACTGAAGCCTGACTTCTGTTTAGGGGCTTCGAGAGTGATTTCAAGTCCACGTTCAACGATGCGCATCGAATTAATTTCATCCCACTTGAGAATCCATTCCGATTGCCATCCACCAAATAAATCACTTTTTACGACATAAATCAAGCGATGATTTGTCACCAATAAAACTTCTTTATCAAGAATCATCTCAGCGTAAGCAAACTCATCGCTGTTAGCAAACTTTCCTTTGTCAGCATCGCGGAAAATTTTGTAACCTTCAGCTTCTTGTTTACTGTATGGTCGAACGATTCCATCCGAATGAAGGAAACGTGGTGGCCGAAGTTTCTTTTCTTCATCACTCAGTTCTGTCGCTCGTTTCACTGAATCGAACGTTCCGCTTGCAAAATCAACGATTCCAGCTGTTGGACGTGCAACTAAACCTACAGCACCTTTTCCCAATCCTTTAAAGAATCCTTGAACACCTTCAGTTCTTGCACCTTGAACAGGCTTCGTAACAACACCCGTAACACCATCAAAGACTCCCATCACAAGTCCTTTTCCACTTCTAGCGATTCCTTCTTGCATTGTTGCTGGTCGTTTGTTTAAAGCTGTTTGTCGCTTCTTTTGATAATCTTTATCGAATGTTAATGCTGCAATTCCTTTGCCCATAGCTCCAGTGATCTTTGAAACAGCACCAGCTGCACCACCAACTGTATGACCAAACAATGAACGAACACCAAGCACAAGACCTTCAGCAAACTCTCCTGGTCCTTGAATCAATCCTTGGAATGGTTCGTAAAACAAATCTTCAACGCCTTTTGTGAAGCCAACAACAAGTCCGTAAGGATTTCCAATTACATCCAATCCAAGGACGAGAACGTAAAGTTGCTTTACTGCCTGACCCGCATAATGTGTTGTACATTCTGAGATCAATTGCCGTTGCGTAAGAAATTGGAATTCACGTTCAAAGAAAGCTAAACGGAAGACAACGTCATTGACATCTGTTAGTGTCACACCGACACCTTGAAGAAGTGTTGAGACGATACTTGGCAGTGCTTTAGATTCTGTTTCACTTCCTGTACCCATCGAAAATGAAACGTGAACTTTTATTGGACCCAAATGAAGATTATCGTAAAAGTTCTTCTGTTCTTGTTGTGAATGAACAGTAACATGTGCAAATAATGGTTGCTTTTGAACATCAAGATCTTCACCGAATCGTTTCTTTGCTTCCGCTTCACTCGTTTCACTATCCATTAATTCAATGATGGCATTGATGAAATCAAGATCAACTTTAACATGGAACTCTTGCATAAGAACACGAAGATATTTGTATTGCGTGACAGTTGAATGGGGAATGATTCGTTGAACGACTGACATTTCAATGAATGGTTTAAGTTCAGTTGTTGCTGCGACACTTTTTGGCGGCGGTATTGGTGCCAATATTATTGGGAAAATTGAATCAGGAAGTTGATTGTCAATTTGAATACGATTTATCTTCGCATGAAGTTGAAGTTGATAAGGCGACGTTTTCATTTCCATCCAGAAGCCAGGATAGAATAATCGTCTTATTCTTCTCTGTGATGTATGCTTCTGCATAACCATATTGACGAAATCAAGTTGAACCATTCCATTGGCATTCATGAAATATTGTTTGCCTTGATCTTCACCTACAGCAACATCCCTGAGATATTCTTGGTAACGTTCTTCAACTTGATGATTTTCTTCGATTTTAAGTTGCTTGTGACGTTTTCCCTTTTCTTGCTCCCAAATTACATCTAATGAAAGAGTTGTAGAAGGATAAAGAAGGAAACATTAATTTTATGCTGCTTAGAACCATAATAATAACGAAATTAAATGGAAAATGAAACATCAATGTGTCCATTTGGACACAAATAACATAAAATTCAGGAAGCATTGTCAGATCAGCTTTTGCAAAGATATTCATAACAAATCTTAAAAGCTGACTATAAGCTTTAGTCAAAAATCCGTACAAATTTCTTGCTGACATTACCACCTCCATTTTTCTTCCATTACACGCTTGAAGATTAACCTTCAAAGTTCTAACAAAAAAGATAACAAAAATTTAATTCATCTTACTTGAACTTGCTATTCCTATGTACATTAAATCGCATCCCTTGGCATTGTTGACGAGTGACAATCCTAAGCCACGCAAATTTATCTCTACATCACGAGTCACCTGTTGAAAAAATAAACATACAAAAATAATTTCACCTTGAAGTTTAGGAAGAGAAAATAAACAATGAAGTTTTAAATAATAAATTATATTGGAGACCTTCGTGTTGGAATAACTCTTGATTAATTTTGCAATTATTAATTTTCTTTCTTTTCTTCGTTTTCGTTTTCTTCTTCTTCTTTCAATTTTTCGTGTAAGTCGAATTGAAAGCTTTTGAAAAGAATTTCCTTTCTTCATTTTCTTTGGTAAAGAATTTGCGACGGAAGAAAATTTTTGTTTTAAATTGAAAAAGTTTTTTTTGTTCTTTCCTTATCTTTTTACCAAATTTTTATAAATAAACGCGAGGGTGTTAGAACATGATATAATTTACCTGATCTAATCGGCTGGAGCTTTGCGTGCTGTTAGCAACTGATGGATTTTTAGTGAAGAGAAGAACTCTTTGAGTTCCATCAAGGAACGACACCCAATAAAATGATTCAAGTTGTGAGCTTCGTCTCTTGCCTCTTCCATCTGACGTTGACTGCTCGATTTCTTCTGATGCAATTATAAATTGATCAACACCATCACGTCTTAAATCGTTTTCAACATTTCCTTTTCCTTGATTCTTCCATGTTATGACACGTTCACCAGCTGGATCAAACCAAGTGTAAAACATCATCTGTTTTGGCTTAAGTACACGACCATTGACGTTTCCTTTCTCCCAAAACGTGACATATTCATCGGTGCAATTCATTATCAATCCTGGAGCGTCTCCTGGATGATATTCAGTAAATGTAATGTAAATAACGCCTTCAGTGACATGCACATCGACATTAATTCCACCATATTTATTCTTGAGTTGCAACAAAGTACATTGGACGTCATCGTACTTAAATGGTGCTGTGACTTCATCTTGATCAACTGTTTTCACTCTCAACATTCGATCACCTTCAGCTTTTGGCCATAATGGAGCACAATCATTACTTTTGACAAGAACACGTGGATCAGCTGGTCTTTTATCTTCTTGAACTTCAATGTCAAATGGTGCTCGATTTATAAGCACATAGAATGGCATGAAAATGATTTGCTTCGTCAATGAATTGTTTGTGAGAACATTTTGAACGCCAATCTAGATTTCAATGGATAAATGAATCATTTTAAAAAGAAAAAATGGAGAGAAGTTTTCGTTTTCTTACCAGATAAGTCATTCCATCGCATTTACATTGTACAACGCCACTCGAACCAGCAACATCAAGTGAAAATCTATCACACCATTCACCTGAATCAACACGAATTGCTGCTTTCTTCTTACCAAAAAACGCTTTCTCACGGAATGAGAATAAAATCGGTCCATCATACTCTGGTGGGTGATAAAGGATGTTGGTGTTCTCATCAGCCTGTTCCGGGAAAAAACATGGAGAAATCTTGAATCCTTCTTCGTCACATCCAAAGCAATTTGTATATTTGCACTACAAATGGATCATCACCATAATAACAGGAGAGAGAATGGATATTATTTACAAGGATGGAATGGAGTAGGCGGTTTGGTTTACGAAATTGATAGGATGGGATGATAAATAAACCAAAGCAAAACAGGTCGGTGATGGTAGCGGTGGATAGAAATGATGATTAATTTTTGCGGATTTGACGATGTCAGTTTGGTTTGGTTACAACATTGGTTGGAAATGAGGTTGATTTGATTGATTGATTGATGGGGAAAGGTGAAAAAAAAGATTCAAAACAAAATACAAAATTTATAATTCGTTAAACAAAATAAAAAGGAAAAAAATATTAAGAAAGATGCAAAGAATAGAAAAAAATGTTATAATTAAACTCTTAAATGTTCCATTAGTTCAATCGGACGTTAGCTAAATGTACTTTGGTATATCAAAAAGATAATTTCAAACATTGAAATTCTTAATAGAAATTGAAATGTAATTACCACGATTCCATTGAACTAACGACTTATCCAACCATCGCAGTTAAGATATCTACTTAGTTATGCATTGAAAAAGAGTTTTAATCACTTCGCTCTTGAGGGAGCTTTCACTTTGCTTTTTAATGTTTTAATGAACCAAGTAATGAACATCATAAATTAAGTAAAAGCTAAGAGAGTACCGCATGCAAAAACATTTTAAGATAAAAAGTCTCTGATGAGATTTCATTCCTTTAAAAGTAATTCAATCTTCAAGCTATTAACTAAGCAACAACCTTCTAAAAACAAATAAATATTCCCAAAAGAAAAGTCGCTGAATTGTAACGTTCTAAATAAAGATTTGAAACCCACGACTGATTAAATAAGATAAATAACTTAATTAATAAAAAGGTAGAATTCAGAGAACTTCAGCTTAACATCAAATGAAAACCAATTTAAAATTGAATATCAAAAACCATTATCCAATTAAAAAAAAAAGAGGTAAAGAAGGAGAAAAAAAAGTTTGTCAATAAAAAAAGGATTATAATTAATTTCTTAACAACTTAAGCTTTAGAATGCTTCTTGAAAAATGTTTTCCTTTTTATTTACACACGTCACTGTACCTTTTGCGGAGTTTTACCAGCTAACTCATTTTTCTCGGTTTTTCGCGACTTCTACATGTGTCAGTTGGTCATGTGGTAGATGAACGAAACGAAAACAATTTGATTTTAAAAGATTAAAAAGTTCAATTAATTGCATCGATGAATTGGAAAAAATGAAAATTGAAATTAAAAATTTGTGTTGGTTGAAGAAGTAAATTGATTTGCAAAAACACAATTTGAAACGAAAATATTTTGTGAAACTCTTTAAAACTCAACATTTAAAAGTTTAAAAGAGAGGAAGAGAAACACTAAAAATTACTTAAAGCGAAAAGGTGAAAATGTTGCCTAAAAAAAATTCTTCTTTTTCTTACCCGATAACTCAAATTCAAGCCGGTCTTGTTCAGCATCCAAAATGGACAATAAATTGTCATGGTAAGACCATTGTTGAGGTTCTCAAAGTGAACACCAAGTTGAAGTGACGTTTTTCCAGCTGAATCGTAAGATTGGAACGTCCAAACAACAAACTCAGGCGGATCAGCTGGCACTTCGGTCTTCACTGACCAGTCACGTTCAAGATATTGAATTAACTAATTAAAAATTAAAATTAAAATTAAAATTGATTACCTAACTTTTCTAAGAATCGCAACTCACCCTTGCAACAATGTACATGAGATTATCAGAATTCTTCGCTGCTGTTTTGACTGTTGGCAAATGCAACAACTCGCCAGGTTTAATAATTTTCTCGCCATAATCTAAGAAATCTTCTCCTTCAATTCCCGTTGTGTTCTGATGTGCTGACGTCATGTCTTCGTCAACAGATTGTTCTCTTAAATTACGATCACGATCTCTAGCCACACTACAACCAGCAACCGATACAATCAAATCAATTGGCAAAGCATTTCGCAACAATAAAGGCGGACGTAAACGAATCAAAAAACAAGCGCTAAGAATTGTGAACTTGCTGCTGATTTCAAAGAAGACGTCGAATCGTTCTCGAATGGCATTGATGTAAAGCGGTTCATAAGTCTTCACTGGATCGCATTGAAGACTCTTAACAAGTGTGGAGTTTCCAGGACATTCCTTCCAACTCATCCCTTGAATTGAAGTCCGATAACCAGCTATCGAGAAATGCAAATCTTTCGATGCATCATGAATACAATTCAGTGGCACATTAAACGATTCGTTTGGCAATATTTCTCCAATATCCATTTGTCGCCCATTCACATAACGATGAATGGAAATTGGAACCGTAAAGTGATTGAAGACTTGAACAATCCCACGAATAGTTACAAATGTTGAACCCATTTCAATGCTAATCTCACTGATGATTCCCCATGGTTCTTGATTTGTTTCACGATAAATTGGAAAATATCTTTTGTCAGCTCGATGGATTGGCAACTGAAGTCGCTTTTGAACTTCAGGAATGTACAATGTGATGAACTTTTCTTGTCCAATTTTGTCTCCATGACTCATTGATTTGATCGTCTCGTCGAGAAGTGAAAAAGATTCCAAAGACTCTGACTTTGGTTGAAGATAAACTTTTCCGCCAGGGAAGATGACACAAGACAAGATGCTTTCGATGGGTGGTGAGTTGAGAATACCAAGATTCTCAAACACAACCAAACCATTCTTTTCATCAGCAAAGTTCGCTGAGTGGAATAAAAATTCCGTTCCTGTCAACTCCAACTGAACTTCCAGTCCCGTGTCGTTACGTAAAACATAAGGCGCATCAACAACACCCGATTCTATCAAACCTTCCTGTTCAATCGCCTTTGAGAATGACTTTCCGAGTGTTTGAAGAACATCAAGACAAGTTTTTGTAACAAGAAGTTCGAGTGTTTGAACGGACTTCACTTTAATGAACGTCGTCGGATCTTTTTCTTCCCTTTCGGGATCGTCAAGATGTTTGTCAACACTCATGCTAAAGTTTAACTCCCACGGATGATATTCACTCAACCCTACTGATGAATCCATTTCAACGGGTTCGATAAGCGGCTCCCATAAAGCAAGAACGTTGTTATAATAAGACATTGTTAGTCGCAAAGTACTGTTAACTCCCATTTCTGAGCTCCAATTAGAGATTTGTGCATCCATACTCGTCTCAATGAACAGCATTGGAATTGTGTGAACGCCTACGCCATTCTCGATGATTATTGCAATTGATGGCACTTCAATCACACATTTCTCTTCTTTTCCTATCGGCTCAATTACCAATGAATCGACACTTAAAGCATCCCAACATTCGTCGACTTTAATAAACCAAAAATCGTCATCATCGAATTGTTTCGCCATCCATAAGTCACTGTAGTCAATGGGATCATTTGTCACATTTGTCTTCTCGTTTTCTTGAAGCGTCATTGTCGCGACAATTTTATTCATCAACTCAATTGATGCTGGCGACACACAAATCTTTATCTTTGACACATTCAAACTAACGTGAAGGCCTTTATCTTCTGGCGTCGAACCGCTCAAGCTTATTGAACATGGATGAAGCACATAATGCTTCGTATGATTGCGACGTTCCGGATTAAATTCGCTGAGATATAAACTAAAGTTCTTGATTTCACCTTGAATTATTTGCTTTTCACCATGAAGACGAACTTTTGCTGAGATTTCATTCTGTTATGAGTTTCGGAATTGCAGGGAGATAAAAAAATTATTTATTTAAAAATTGCTTTAAATCAGAGATTGAAATTTTTAGATCGTTTACTGATGAAAACTGGGGAACATAAAAGAGGTTTTTAAAATAAACTTACATTTAATATCAATGCAAGACAGTTAATATCATCCATCTTCTCGACGAGAATCACGTCGTACTCTTCAATGTGAAGTGCAAGTGTAATCATTTTCTCGTTGCTGGCTGCTTGAGTTCCAGAAACGCTTGATTTTCTTCGTTTTGTTTCAACTTCTTTCGGTGCTTCGAGGGCAATGTCGACGGTGTTTGGTGTTGCGCTGCTTCCATCGGGATTAAGGAAAGCTGAAAGCTTCATTAGGAAATCCATTGAGAGAATTAAATTAAAGCTGAAGACTTTGACGTCAGCTAAAGGGAAAAAGATTTTTCTTTTTTTATGAGTCAATCTTGAAAGCTTAAAGTCTCAACAATTTTACCAAACATATCGTTTTCCTTCATTCGGAAAGTAACATCAATCATTGATTTTGAATCTGTTGATGATGCGTTTGACGTGCTAGGCTCATTAGACGATCCACGTTCCCTACGTTCCATAAATCTTGTGATTTTTCCTTTGCTATTTGGTCGAGTGTCATCTAAATTAACGTCACAAAGAATGATTGACGTGCTCATTGATCCATCGACGAGATTTTGTCCATTTAAAGAGAGGTAGTAAAGTGCGAAGCATGCTAGACCTTCGTTTGGAGCTTCACGAACAATTATAAGTTTATTCAGTAAGATTATCTTTAGAAATTCAATTCTTCAAAAGGTTTAATTTACCTGAATACAAATTCATTATAAATGAGTCAATTTGAAACGCAAACTTCATGGCGATTTCGATGATTTTCTTTTCTTCCGAAGGCGACTTTTTCAGCACTGAAATGTCCAGTCCAAAAGGTTTTTTCGACTCAAGAAGCTTGTCTTGCGTCTTCTGCCATTGTCGTTTTGCTGTTGAAATGCGTAAAAAATGAACAAGAAGGGAAAGACAAAACATAAACATGACTTAAAAAAGTTGTAATTAAAAACAAATTTCAAGCTGTGCATGAAAAGTATATTGAAGTGCGAAAATGAAAGGAAAAGTTAAATAGAAGATTATTTTTAAGAAGGAAAATTAATGTGTTGAAGCGTCACAAAAACACAATAAGTAGAACAGAAATGGAAGAGAAGAAAAACAAAAAAAGGGAAAATTCTACAATCTACAACAAAAACATGAACTCACCCTCTTCATCGTCGATGTCAGCAACAACTAATGATAATATTTATGTGTAATGATAAATACAAATCATGATATTTTATACAGTCAAATATATTCTTAGATATAAATACTTAAAAAGAAGTCAGTAGAAGAAGTTACAGTTAAGAAGAAATAAATCAAATTTTATCACACGCCAAAAAATTTCAACACACAAAATTTTTACTCAAATTTTGAAATTTCAAATATTCATGAAAAAGAGAAAACAAAAACAACAGCGAGGGATGTTTACACGATTAACGATGCACGACAAATTTTACAAATCTTTTTTCTTTCTTTTGACTTTGAAAATTTTCACAAGTGTTAGATTGACACAGTTAATTAATCTAGATTAACTGACATTTAACCCTGATTACATTTAATCCCGATTAACATTTTTCTTAAATTTATGAAAAGAGAAATTTGTTTTCTTATCATGATGAAAATTATCAATTTCAATCTATTTCTATTCCATCGTGTGTGTGCGGAATTTAATGAGAACAGTTTACAGTGAATTTAATCTCCAATCTAGCCACTTACGTGAACAAATATTTTTCATTGAATTTATTGACATTGAAAATTCTTCAATTTTCTCATTTTCAGCTACTTCATAGCAAGGATTTTGATAGTCTTGATGGTTTATTTTTGATTTTGAAAACAAAAGAAACTTTAATCGAGCTTTTCATTGAATGAAAAACTTTTCAATGGTTGAGTTAAACAGACTTTAAAGAAGAAAGTGAAATACTTGAAACTTTTTCACTTTCAGCATTTCACTTAATTGCTTTCTAATTTATTAAACTCAATTTGTTTTTCAATAAAAGAAAAACTTTTTAGTTGAAGCGTAAACACGAAAATTAAATTTATTGTTAGTCACATCACGGAATTTTCGGGATTTTCGCGGGACCGTTGGGAAAATAAGTTTTTCTCGACTATCAACAAAAAAGAAAGGAAAAGTTTGAATTTCATTTTTCTCACCTTTTGTCGGTTCTCCAACTGGTTGAACTGGGCGAGGCTTTTTCGGCTTCTTAAACTCGTTTTGTCCTTCAGTCATGTTCTTCTCAAGAATCTGCATGATGACTTTGTAGTCTTGTGCGATAACATTGAGTTCAATGGAATGAAGACGTCCGGTGATTTCCATTTGTGGATGATCCTTGTACCATCCCGATGATAGATTTCTTTTTATTAATAAAGCGAAGCTTGTAGGTTGCAGCACGTAATCCTTGGGATCGATTTCGTATACAAGTTCTACGTATTTATTTAGAAAACAAAATAAAATGAGATGTTGCTAAGAGGAATGAAAGGTTCACTCACCAGAAGATATAAATCGAGATGACAAGACAACACTTGTTTTGTCTGATGGCTCACTTAACCCATCTTGCTCGTGTAGTTGAACTTTTGATAGTTTAACATCACTCAACTCAACTTTCATCTCGTCAATTACCGCCGGTCCATGTTCGCTTTTAACATCCAAATTAGAAATTAAATTTGATATCTTTAAGTTACCCAAATCGATGACAATCGCTTCGAGACTACGTGAATGAACCGGAACAAGAATAATCGGCGCTTTAATCTTAATGTTCATTTTGACTCGTGTCGCTTGTTCATAAGCAGCAACCACATTTTGTTTCGCTGCTTCGGCAGCTGCTTTCGACGCTTCTTTGATTCGATCTTGTGCCGTTTGGAAATGATCCAAGAAGTTGAGAACTGACGTGACAAACCAATTCATGAAAATGATTTTCGCACATCCCATCGTCACATTAATCTTCATGTTATCTGAATTATATTCAGACGTTTCCTCTAAATTGAACATAACAAATTGTGCAGTCATTGCATCGCCGCCAATAATCGAAAGAATCTTCGAATGAATGGTTCGAGGATTTAGATCGGTGACAATGATGTCTTCAAGTTTCAATGTCACTTCAGTGTAAGATGTTTTCATTGTGACTCCCGCCGTCAAATTTCTCACCTGATAAATTGAAAAGTTTTTCATTTTATTTTCCTTTTTTATTTCAATTTTTCAAACCTCAAGCGCTGTAATTTCACGAACATCGTTTTCCAACTTTACTGTTACATCTTCCATCTTTGCGAGAACTTTCAACTTGATTGAATCTACAATTTTGGATTTATGGTGGCGCGGTTTGCCTGCATTAGTGTCAATCGAATGTATTTTGTTTTGTTTTTTTATTTTCAACCAAAAATACGAACGAACGAACGAACGTCATTCAACGGATAATGAAACAAACGAATCAAAAATGCATTCGGATCATCAGGCATGTAAATAAACATAAATCAAAATATGAAAGAAAAAGAAGGAGAAACAAAATTTGTTAAAAATGAAAACAAATAGAATGGAAAAATATTTTAAAATGATAGAAAATTGAGAATCGCTTTGTTGTGTTTAGCGATTTCATTTCTACATGTTCAACATCAATTATGTTAAAAACATTTAGTTAAAGTCAACTCACTGGATGTTACTGCTGTGGAGCTTTCTTCCCCTTCTTCTAGAATCATCGGCAACTTCTCCTTAGCAGCTTCAAGGAATGACGACGGCGCTGCAGCATCAGCCATGCGATCTTTCGGCTTCTGATTAGCACTCACAATTTTATCAACTTTTGTTTGAATTCCATTTGCAATTTGAATCAATTCACTGATTCCATCTTGATTCAGAAGAAGAACAACTGTTGACATTTTTATCTCGATGAGTTGTTCAACTGAATGATATTTCGTGTTAAATTCTGGTGATGTTTTCTTGCACTGTCAAAGAATATTTAAATGAAATTTAAGTCAAAAACCTTTTTAATTAATTTCACTTACATTTGTGTAACTTAAAGTAAATAAATATTCAAATCCTGAATCATATCGTGGTGTATTAATAACTGGAAGTCTTGATTCGATTTCATTCTTCATTCTAAATTGATCGAATGAGACAGCACCAAGTTTTAAATCAACTTTAAGTTCATAAGTTCGTTGTGCTGCGGTCATTTCCAATTTCTTTACTTTCACGCAAAGCATCTTTTCTAGATTTTTTTCTGGCGATCTTGAAGGTGTTTCAAATGTGACACTTTTGTAAGACGGTGACACGACATTTAATTGTTTACTTTGTGAATCAACAAACTCTTCACTTGGTGTTCCAAATTCATCATCAGATGAATTTTCTTCTTCAACAGCAACTTTTTCAGCATCTCTCGACTTGCAAATCGTCAAGACAATTTCTTCCAACACGAAATAAGCTTCAACTTCCGTGAATTGTACGACACCATCGACCGAATCTTGAATATCAGGTGGTGGATCAAGTCGCTTCTGTAATTTCTGTTGTTTCTCGTCCAAGAACTTAAGAAGTGACAAACTCGATCCGATGATGTTTTGTTCTTTTGATAGTGGCTTTATGACAACAACTTCTTCACTTTCAGGCATTGGAAGGGTCGTAATAATTGACAAGACATCAAGAACACGATCTTCAGTCACGCTGATGCTGATTGAAGGAAGTTCACAACCAATTTTACATTTTGGCAAGCGAGGATCGTCAGTGATGACTGAAAGTGCAGCTGAAAGTTTCATAAATGTTGGCTCTAAAATATGCATTGGCGTTCCACGTCCAATTGTTATCGCTTCTTCCCAATTTTCCTTTGCTTTCGCTACAAGAACTTGAATATTATGAATTTCAAATTGAAATTTATCGTAACTTTGGGAGATTAATTCTTGTAGGATTTCATCGCTGTTTGCACCTTCATTGTGCATTGTTCGAACGATTGATTGAGTTATTGGTCGTGGTTCCGTTTTAAGCACCAATTCACCTAAACTAACAACAACAACCGACTCATTTTTCGTATATTTTCCACCTTTTGGAATGAGAAAGTAACTGGGAGCAAAAGCAATGTCAACCTCTAGTCGTGGATGACTTGAAATTGCATATTGAAGACCAGTCGCTGATCTTTCTTTAATTCCAACAAGCTTCTCAGCTGCTGCATCTTGTAATTGCGACAATGTTGCTGTTTTTTGTGTTTGAAAAACTTTTAAAAGTTGAATGACTGTTTCACCATTGTAAACAATTTGAATTGGTTGCGATTTAACTTTAACACGTTGATCACAAAGCTTATCAATTGGATTACTTTCAAACATAACATCAAGAAGTGAATTCGCTGATTCAATTTGTGATTGAATCATTACAGGTAAATATTGTTTTTGTTGAAGTCCATAAACCATCAATTCTTGCATGTTGAGATTTAATTTGATTGACTGTGCTGATGGACGCTGATCAATTGAACATTTGACGTGATTTAATTGCAACAACATGACATTCTCAAATGAAATTTCACTCTCAATATTCGATTTTATTGATATTTCTAAGCATTTCAATTCGAAATGCATCGTAAGTGCAACATACGTTTCAGGTAATTCAGTTGGAACTGAATTCTCTTGATATCCGATAGCTTTGAAAAGTTTTTCCTTCTCTTCTGTTGTCATCGCTGCTTGGAACTTCTTCTTGATGTCATCAGTTTCGACATTCGTGTCATCTTTCTTTGAACCCCACCAACCACTAAACCATCCTTTCGATTTCGTTTCTTCTTCTTCCTTTGTCAATTTATCAACTTCAAGTTCAACTTTCTGACGAATGATGACAAGATTTTGAATGTTAAGTTTCTTCTCGCAATCATCAACGACATCAAGCAATTGCTGTGTAGGCTTCTTTGTTGTTAACTTCATTTTATAACAATCAGCATAAAGTTTGCATAAACGTCGTGTTTCTTTCATATTCTCCCATGACCAATTCTTTTTACGTCTTTGAATGTCCGTTTCGAGAATACAACGGAATGCAAAGTGCCACCACTCCTTGAAATGTCCCTTGTAAGTAATTCCATGTGGACGAAATTTACGATAAGGATATGCACGCGACATTCTCCCAAACTGTTCAATCAATTGCATCGCGTCTTGATATTGTGTCTTGGTCAACCCAAGTGCTAATTTCTCCATCATTAAGTTGAGAATAATTTTAGGAATGCTAAAGGGAATTTCATTTGATTCAGGATCAGGATTCATCTTTAAACGTGCTTCTGATGTTATTGGACCGAGAATGAAATCATAGTCGTTTGGTTTAGTTGTCTTTGATGCAATTGATTCTTTGAACATCAAATGGTAATTATCTTGTGTGAACTCTTGAAAAAGCTTGCAATCACAGTTCATGTAAACCGCAAGGGATTCAAGTTGTGCAACTTTATATATCTCGGTCATGGACTGAGAAATCAAAGTTTTTTGCCAGTTGGCGTCGGTCGTATGAACACTAAAGTTACTTAAAGTTACACCAATTGCAAAAGGTTTTGCACATGACAAATTGTCTTCGTATCGTATGTGAATGTCACCAATTTTTATCTGCACATTGTTGACAATTTGTGCTGTCAGCTTTTCAGCAAACGTCTTGTCATCTTTCGGTTTATCTATTTATTAGAAACATGAAATCAAATTACAGATTTAATAATTCAGCAAATAAAAAAAAGAAAGAAAGAAAAAAATGTTTTCTTACTCTTCTCTTGTTCAAGTTTCTTCGCCAATTGAATTCTTTCCAATTCCGATTTCTTCGCTTCAAAAGTTGCTTTCTCTTCCCTCTCAGCATTGTAACGAACCGAATTATTTGGCACTGCTAACAAGTACAATCGATCTATATAAGCTTCAACAGGCGCTGAATATAGATTCTTCCACGGTATTTTCAACACTAAACTACCCAAATGACCGTACGTTGTTTGCACCGGCAAATCGAGTTCGCTCAATGCGCTTTGTTTCAAAACGAGATTCTTAAGAACAACATCACCTGTAGGTAAATAAAACAAAGCAATTGTGATGCAAATTCAAACAGGTTTTTCTGTTGTGTTTCTGGAAGAGGAAATTTTATTTTTAACCATCCATCGCCATATGGTCGCATTAGCCAATCAATCGGGTCAAGTTCAAGGTAGAACAACGAAGCGATTTATGAAAGAACTCGTTATTAAAAAGAAAGAAATTAACTTCTTTTTATCCTTTTATGAATGAATCTGATGGACTATAAAAGTTGAGCTTAGCCAAATATCGAATCGCAGTCTAAAATTTGATGTCACAATAAAAGGAACGAAAATGATTCTAAGGTGAGTTATCTTATTTTATTCATATTTTTTTATTAAAAGAAGTCTTTTCATTTGCAGAGTTTTCATCATCGTCGTTATTACTCTCACAACAATGACTGAGAGTAAAGAAATTGACATAACAATGAAAAGCCATCCAATGTTTGAATGTTTAGCGTCATACGCAAGGACAAAAGGAATTCAGGATCCAACATTTGATGACGTTGATTACGACAGCACGAAAGAAGAATGTATAAAGATGAGACAACATTTTATTAGCGAAATTCGTAAGGAAATACGATCGAAAATATCTGAAGCGGAAGTTCCTTTAAAGTTTTCAAATTGCATTTATGACAAGCTTTCTGGAAGTGAAACATTTGTTAATTCAATCATTAAAGCTGCTGCTTTAGAATACTCGGGAAAATCTCAAGAAGCAGGTCAATTGAACAACACTGTTGATACAGTGCTTGATTATATCAAAACTTTGGTGCTGTCGTGTAAAACTGAAGCTGATTTTGGTGATCAATTTGATTCATTTTTTGTGAAGTCAGAGGAGAAAATTAAGAAAAACGTGACTGACTACGAAGAAGAATATTGCTTGAAGAAGTATTTGATTAAGAATAATCTCATTGACACGATTTTATACGTTGTACAGGCAAATCCCCAAAACATTAATGTGACTGGATTGAACTGCGAAGAAATGATAAAGGAAGCTAACGACGACATTTATGACCAGCTCGCCATCGCTTATCTCGAGAATTCGAACTTCGGTAATCCCGAGAAGGTTGATTGTGCAATAGAAAAGTTCCGTGAGGCGGATTATTTTGATTTGATTATGAAAATCACGGCATTATCCACCATCGACATCACAAAAGAACAAAAAATGATTGAACGCGAAAATTTTGTTAAAATTTTACTCAAAGTCACGTCAAACATGGCAACATGTTAAACAGCTATAAGCAGATGATTTCCGAGAATGTCTTAAATATTTTATTATCCAATAAAAGAAAAGCGAAGAAAAGTAAAAAGAAAAACAGATTTTCATTTTCCTTCCTTTCACGCCCTTTTTAAGTGAAGAAATTGTTGTCAATGACAAAGCAATAATTAAAAACAGCACAAGTCAAAAGTGAGACGCAAATCTTTACTGAAGATGTTAACTTAACATGTGAATGAGAATAAAGAGATGGTATGAGAGCGAGAGAAAGGTCGTCAGACAGTTAGCTAAGTGGCTGAACAGGTTTTCAAGTTCCAAAAATAAAAAATAATAATAAAAGTGGTAGATAATGAAGAAGTTAAAAGAAATGCAAGAAATGGGTTAGTCGTGTTGTGGTCATTGTTGTGTAAAGTTAGATATTTAATGATGAAGATTTGGTAAATTCAGTTCAGTTATTTCAAATTGACAATTTAACCCCCAGTCATAATATTGCAGTTATTTGATGCTCTTTGGAATCATTTTTTTATGGTGCAATGAAAAAGTTGAAGCAGATGAGAATCCATCGTTCGAATGTCTTGCTTCATATTCAAAGGCGAAGGGCTTCAATGAACCGGAATTCGACGGAGTGAACTATGACGATAAGAAGGAAGAATGCGTTAAAGCAATAAAAGCTTTCAAAGCAAAGGTTCGTGGTGACATTATTGAGAAAATGGCAGAAGTTACAACGGATAAGCAACAAGCAAAATGTATAAACGAGAAATTCACGAAGGAAGATATGTTTGTCGACAATATTATTAAAGGTGAGGCATTAGCATCGGTTGATGATAAAGATAAATCCGACAAGCTACGTGACATCGAAAAATTCGCGGAAGATTTTATTACTTCAGCTATCACGTCTTGCTTAGAGATCCAGGGAGAGTGAAATTCGATCAAAATTTTAATGAATTCTACTTTTATGAAATGTTCCACAACCATATATCATCTGCTAGAAATTTATGTAGATGTCAATTATGAGAATAAAAATATTAACAACAAGGTCATGACCTTAAAATTTGATCTTTCATATCAACAAGCTACTTCATAGAAAATTCTTTATTACTCATAGCATTTTCAAGTGCTAATCAGCAGAAACATTTTCAGATTTCAAAGGCGTGAATATTTGCTTTGCAATCAATTAAACCTTTCATAACTTGAAGTATTTTTATTTCCATTCGAAGAACAAGTGCAGGCAAATATTATTGGAATTTCTGAATGTAATGCTTGATAAGAAAATGTAACAAACGATGAACTCATCAAAACACTCCAAAAGCAAAAAAAAAGAAAATCAAATGAACAGTAACCAAGCGAATAAACTGCTAGAAACAACTTTTTAGTCGTGTTGAGCTTTTTTTTGTTGTAATAATTCACATAAAGTTAGCGATGCGAATGATGTCATTAACCAATTTGAGTTTCCAACTTTGGATTGAAGTTTTAGTGATATTTATGAGGTTTCTGAGTTATAGAATACTAATTACTTCAAAAAAAGATGAATGATAACTTTTATGAATAAATTCATAAAAGGTTCCATTGGAAACAAAAGAAAGTTTCGTTTGCGTTTTCTCTATTGCAATAATTTTCATTAGCTTTATGGAGGGAATGGTTTTGCTTGCCTCGCCTTATCAGAATATTAAACAATCACGCAATATGTACAAGTGAACAGCTACAAATTGTTGCTAAATATGTATCTAAATATTCTGATTGCTATTTATCTTCGAATATAGCAAAGATTTATCATCGATGAAAGAAATTAGATCAACCGATTGCCAAAAAATTTTTGTTTAAACAAAGAATCAAATTAGAAGCGTGTTGCAGAAATTTCAGATACACGTGAAAAAGCTGATCCACTTAAGAAAGCAAATGTTTTCCTCACTATTCTGATTGTAAACTTTGTGAATCTTCACTGAAACAGCTTTAAATATAGCCAAATGATGTCATAAGTCAGGGTGGATTCCAAATGGAGTTTGATTGTTTTCTTTTTCACGCATTCCACTTCGTTTTTTCTTTTTTTCTTCTTCACAAATTAAACATATGTGACGTAGCTTCGAACATTCATTTGGTTTATCTTGGGATCAATCGCACAAAAACAAATTATATCAATTAATTAAATTGACACCCGCAATCTTTGATAAAACGTAATTTATCACCTCATTCGTATGATAACAAAATTGTAAACAAGGAAAAGAAAAGTTTAGGCAAAAATATCGATTTTTCTTCTTCGACTTTTCCACAATATGAAAAATGACAACAAATAACTTTTTTCTATCTTACCTCCCCATATGCCAATTTTTAGCTGACCCTTATCCAAATTCTCGACATATTCACCGAGATAACGATTTAGAATATCAGCTACGATGCTCTCAAACACCATTTTTACTCTTTTTAATTTTTTCTTTTGAACAAAAATTCAAATTTTGTAATTTTCAACTTTTATCTTGAAATTTTCATTTTGACCTTGTTTCCTTTAGTGAATAGCACTAATTAACTACAACTACAATCTGAAACCGGGTAAAATAAATGTTCGAATGATGATTTATCAAGAGAATTAAGTTTTGTTTCTTTCACAATCTGATTCGCAGAAAAAATATAGTTCAGCCGCCTTCACACGATTCTTTTCGCGGGGCATGTCATTAAAGTTGCTCAAGGCGGGAAATTTGAAAAACACGTGCTCATGCCACAGAAATATTCAACTTGTTGATTCTTACAAAGAAATTTTTTCGTACAATTAGATATATTTAGGTCAAATATGAGGGAAAATAGGAACATAGATAATTCCTTTATTATTTCTAATTGATTTCTAATTTATAGATTGCTTTATCAAACAATAGACAAAATAACAATAACTTTCATTTTCCTATTAACTAGCAGGAATATTTATAAACAATAAAAAAATATGATCAATGTATTTAATTAAATCAAAATAATAAATAATCAAATCTAGGTACGAAGAGTTCTCATCATATATTGCTATAATACATTAGCAAAAACTTTTTACTAATCTTCCTTCGTCCATATGCACATCTCAGTTATTATTTAAGTGATTTATGATAACGCTTGAAAGTAGAAGTTTTCAACTTATGCAATAGCAAATTTCCTCTCCCAAAGATAATTGTAGTTGTGCAGTGTAAACTAAATTTCGTGTGTTAACATAAATGTTAGACAAAACCGTAACACTGAACATCCTCTTCTTAAATTGAATTAAACTTCATCTGATGATTTTATTTTCAGAGCCAACTCTCGTTTCAGTAGGAGATTGAAAATTAAATTTTCTAAACGATTTATCTTTAATAAAATTAATAAACGTCAGACGAAATTTAAATTTTGCATCTGCATAAGGGAGTGGCATGACATAAAATCAGAAAGTTTATTAAGCACCAAATTTATTTAATTTTATTAGATAATTACTGTTCATCAATGTGCTTAGTTTTTCATCAGCCCGTATTTTAAATGCAATGACGTGGTAATAAAGAGATGTAAGTTCTAATTATCCTTCATAATGAAAGACGATGATTCTAACGTCATTCAGAGATTTCCTGTTTTCAAAACAAAGCTTCAAAATAGATTCATTAGCTTGTCTTATAACAAATTGCAATAAATTATTGACAACGTGAAAAGAGTGCAGGATATAAAGACAAGCATTGCCATTAAAAATACGCTACGTACTCTTTAATGAATTAATGAACTATAAACAACTAGAGTCAGCGACAACATCTTTAATTAAGATCTTATCTTGCCATTTGTTTCTATATTGAATAAAAGTTTGCTAGATAAATTATTAGATAAATATCTGAAATATTTATATCGTAGATCCACGTCAAATAATGATTTATCGCAATGTTCTTCAATCTTTTCTGAGACAAGTGATCTAAAAGTTTCAAACATTTCATCAAATTGTACCTAGAAAGTTTCAAAGTTTAGAACCCTCTAAAATTTATTATCTACTTTTACCTACTTTGTCAACCATCCGAAAAATATTTTTGGAATCACTGATTAATTGTTTAAAACAAAATTAATTAAAATGATTGGTTTCTGCACGAACCCAACTTCTTATTAAGTCTATTCAAAGACACAAAATGTAACTTTTCTTTATGATTTGCATCAATGAAATATTTTATAAATAACTCAAACTTTTGTTCATTTGTTGCAGAATTTTCTTCTCATTTGCTAATGTTCTAATGTTCTTTACAAAAACTAAATTAATATTAATAATATATATTTAAACCTGAAACTTTAAGGCGGTAAAACATAAAATAAAGTGTAAATATTGTGATCAAATCCAATTTGACCAACCTTCGTCTATTTAAGTAACAAGCAAAAGGTCTAATTATTTATCTAATGAGGGAAAACAGATAATTAGAAATTTAATCCATTAGATTAATGGGTTGAAAAACTTTTTCCAAATATAAAAAAAGGAAAACAAACCAAACTCTTTCATTTTAGCACGACTACGACAAAGTTTTGTTTATTGGGGGACGTTGGATTGAAAGTTTCTATTTGCCACTTTTTTCCAATTTAACCAAAATTAAATTTGCGTCACCACAAACAAACGAATAATTTCATCATTTCAAGTTTTGTGAAATGAAAAGTTTGAGAAAATATATGAAAATATTCACAATCTACCATTTTAACTCGTGAAGTTGTCGTCTGTTAAACTTTTTCACATGTCGCATCAACTTCCATCTGTTTTGTGTTAAATATCTATGTATAAATTTGCTTCTTGTCTTCGTCAGTCATGTTCAGTCTTCTTCGTTTGCATGTTGAAAAGCGAAACAATGAAACTCCACGCGGTGTCAAGTCTTAGGAGAATTCATTGCTTTAAAAGAAAATAAATTCAGTCAGATCGAATGAACTACTCTACTGACACATTAATTTTTATGGTTTAAGTGCATTTAATTCTTAACCATTGAACGGAAAAAGCAAATGCACATCTCAGTGGATTTGTGATTGACTCAGGGAGCAACGACAACAAATTGCAATTTCTCTTGTTTAATGAGAAATTATACAACTCGTCTATTTTCACTATCTTCTTCAAACTTGTCGTTAAGATTAATTATCGTTGTTAAAACAAACTGAGCAAAGGTTGCATAACAAACGATGTAAAAAGTTCTCTTAGTAACCTCAGAAATTTAATTAATAATTTTCCTTGACAGTTCAAAATTGTGAAAATTAAACTTAATTCTGATTGATTCATCAATTTATCTTTTAATATAAAGATGCATCGCTGTGACTGTGAAGCAAACCGATATTCGGAGGGATTCAAGGATAATTGCTTTCGAATTTATTTCATTCGAGGCGTTTTCTGTCTTCTCATTATGATTTTCATGTTAATGTTCGGACAGATGAAGATTGTCGAGATGAAGTAAGTTTCAATCTTCCTTTGTCATTCATTCATACAAAGATTTTTCCTTTTGTTTAGTGAAAATGTCAACGCATTCTTGGTAGAAAATTACTGGCTTGCATTCATCGGAGTTACATTTTTTCTATGCCTCTGCTTGGTTTTGTCATGTTCTAATCTTGCTCGCAGTTGCTTTCCATGGAACTTTATTCTGTTACTGGCACTTGTGAGTATTTCTTTGATCTCTGAATGCCATTAGAAATTTAAATTAGTCTTCCTTTCACGATAGTCATGAGATGAATCTTTTTCATTACTGAATGTTAATTAAGATTTTTTTTTTCATTTCTTTTAAGGTTGAAAACTTGACATTGATTCTCGCTGTAGTTGGTGCATTGTATGGAACTCTCATTATATTCTTGTGCTTAGCAATTCTCTCGGTTCTTCTCTTCTTCCTTCTCGTTTCTACTTTGATGGGGCCAGTTGACTTCACAAATTGGACATCCCTCTTGCTTGTCATTTTCTTCATTTCATTCATTTATTCTGTTGGAACCATCATTTCAATATTCACTGTTGAACTTCCGCTCATGGATATTATTTATTCGATGATTATCGTAACCGTTTTGGCAGTCGTGATGATGTTGAACATTCAAGTATTATTTAATGGCACAATCTATGAACTTTGCCCAGATGACTTTATACTTGGCGCGATTCTCATATTCTCGCATATCATGTGAGTTGGAAAATATGATTCATTGAACCAGCGAAACATATGACGACATTTTTTTTTCCATTTCAGCATCTTCTTCATGTGTTGCTTGCAAATTGTTGGCTTCGACCCCGATGGATGTTAAAAACAGAAACACGACATGATCACATACAAATTTCTTCCAATCGAATACACTAAACTCTAACTCATCCCTCGGGAATTTTCGGCTCTCCACAATAAATTTAAGGAACGTTTATAAATTATTCATCAGCGATTACTTCCTTTTTTGTTTTTTTTAAAAAAGAGAAACTTGGGAATGTAAAATCTTTGGAAACATTCTCAAAATGAATTAAGTGAGTAAATATTTGTAGAATCCCTAAAATTGGTTATACCTTGCTGTTTTATTATTCTTTGTTGTTTGTGGGGAAAATTTTATTCAAATGATTTTGTTTCCTGCTGGAGGACAAAACGATTTTTCCGACTTTTCCTTTTTCTGATCTTATAAGATTCAGTTGAAATATTTTTAGAATCGTCACCTCATCGATACTTAATTTCAAAAGCAAAAAACGTTCTTATAGTTCAGTGAACTGAATATTTTAACGATTAATAAAGGTTGACAGCTTTCTTGACGAAAATTGTGATTTATTTGTATTTTGGTTTGTTGATTCCGCTAAGCGGCTTTTCTGTTCCATAAAGAATCATTTGCGAATAAAGTTTTGATTCGCTATCATCAATGTACGCTGTTGCCTCAGATCCTTTTCCAAGAAGAACCCTTAGATTTAGAAGTCAGAAGATTTATCATATGAAACTTCCACAACTTATGATAAGTAAGAAGAAGAGAAGGGAAAAAAGTTTTTTAATTTCATTGGAGGCATCATCAGGTTATCTCGCAGTACGAATGATAGATTTGAACAGTTCAGAGATTTGATAATGTCTGATGGGAACCTGGGAAACCAACAGCTTTAGCTGTTTTATAAAACATTAAATCATCATCGGGATCACGATGAGATAACAAAACTTAACACGGATAATCTTTGCAATCTTACATTTGAAATGTTATTAATAAATGTACATAAATTAAACTCAATCAGTTGATCATTGATTTGGAATCAAATCGATAACTCTCATAAATGGAAAAACATTAGCTTCAACATGCTGGGAAAATGTTTTTCTTTTCTAAGTGCCTCATTAGCAACAGGTAAAGGTTGCATAAACGATCATAATTTATTTAAAATGCTTGGCTTCATTAATTTCAATTTAGACAAAATAAAGAGTATGATTGGAGTACTTAATGAAATCTAGAAGTTAATTAACTCTTATTAAGTATTTCTGATTTGGGAGTCAGCTTGAGAAAGTTTTAGCATCGTAAACATCTTATTTTAATACCTTTCCCTTGTTATCCTCAAACAAGATTTGGGGTCAAAATTATTAATATCTGGTAGCAAGCTTTCGTTTTTGTTTTGATATCAAAACGGAGGAAAACAAAGTGTGTTGTTTTTTCTTCGCTAGAATAGGCTCAAAATATCGTAAAAAATTTATTACGCTAACTCGACTGAATCTTTTTGAATACCCGCATGCTTCTTGCATATTTCGTTACGATTGCTGAGAAATAAACTCCAGGCCTTATGAGAATATGAAGAATATGAAGTAACATAAACTTCATGATGATTTTCGTGTTCTCTTACGACAAATAATAGATTAAAGTGATATGAAATTTATATTTGAGACGAAAATTTAAAGCTCTTAACGAGTTTTGAAGGAAATTGACATTCTGAGTGAGTACTTCCAATTTATTTTAAGAATTGTACTACGTGATACTCTTTAACTACTTATGTTGAGGAACAAATACTAACATATTTTTTCTTGATGAGAATTTTCACATTTTTAAAGAGTTATGCATTTACAACTCGCATTTGTTGAAGAATTTCCGATGTGACGATGAAACTATAAATTTTTCTTCATGTAACATGGATTAACGTTTACATGTTTTGTATGGAAGTTGCATTCCCAAAATATTCTCACATATTCATGGAAAATATTTGAATGAAGTCATTCGGAATATTCTGAAAGTTCGCTGTTGGCAAGGAGGAATATTTAAAGATTTTTATATTTTTATAGCTTTGACTCTCTTTGAACTTTCGAAGTATTTTGAGTTCAACCTAAAGCACAAACCTTATAAAATTCAAACATTTTAACGATGTTTAAACTTTCATTAACTTCCCCTAAGGAAGAATTTGAGCTTCCTTTGTAGCGCGTGACGCTTTTTTATGCCACAAACTTGACTCACTTAAATTTGCTCTTACTGGCAACAATTTGTCAACTTAGACAATTTTTTGAACTACAAGAAGGCTTAAAGCTTCATGAAATATATCTTCACGTATTTAGGTTGTCAAATTAGTCTCTGTTGAAACTTAAACCCTTTTCACATCATTTCATCTCATTACGTTGTTCTATTCATTTCACCTAATTATAATCTTTCATTATTAAACACAAATGTCAGAAGGAAATTCATGATAATTTTGATTGAAATTATCCAATTTGCTTCTATTCAAACGAGATTAAAATCGGCTTTACACATATGCTATTCATTTATTTGAATAATCTTAAAGATTTTATTCCCGAAATTACATATTTTAATGTAAATTTCTACTGAAAAGCGATAACCCCGAGGAATATTTTTAAAAAATTCTATTGATAAAGTTCCAGGAGTATTGCTGACAAACAAGCTTCAATCTCGCTATGTACACATACATGAAATGAAAACCAAAGCACACGCTCAATATTCAGAAGTAAATTCGCTTAAATTGGATTTTTTTCTGAAATGATTGACTTATTTATAGAAATCCAAATAAAATAAAGTGAATGAAAACATATAAATCCGGAAAATAAAAAAGAATTTTTAAGCTGCTCATTCCAAATCCAGAAACACAGAAAAGTTGTTTAAAAGAAGAATCCCAGCAATTGATAGCAAATTAATCTAAAAGTAGAAGAAGAAACTTTGAAGAAACTTTTGTAATCGTTTTTTTATGTAACATAAAACTCTTTTTAACTTCCTGCAGGAATATCAAAAATATTTACTAAAACGATGATATTACTTCTCCACAAGAAGAAAACAACGCTTTCCTCTACAAATTTGAAACGAGAGTTGAACGATTGTCAACTTGACACTGTCGAAAATGTATCTTATTACAAAACTTTTTAAGTATGGGAAGAAAGTCTGAAGCCAGAAGCTTTTTAAAATGAAAAATGGCTTTCAAACATAAATGTCATTTTAACTTTCCTTTTTAAGAAAAAGAAAGACAAAAACAGGAAAAGAAACACCACGAGAAATATTTTTATATTTAATGTTATCAAAAAAAGAAAATTTAAAGAATCGTATATTAGATGAAAGCAATTTTCTGATCGAATCAAGGAGATAAGTTCTTGAACAATTTAGCAACGTACAAAACGAGTATCGAAATCAAAATTCAATCAATCGTTATCGCAAAATACGAACACGCATACACACACAAACCAGTTTTACTTTAAATTTCTCAAGCACTTGTGCCGCTGTCATGATGAGAAAAGGGTTTAAGACCCTGTCAAAGATTTCCACAAGTCTTAAAATGCCACTTTAATGTAAAAGCGTGAGAATATTTATCAGTGAAGAAAAGCGAACATTAACAAACAATTTCCAGAGTTAATGTTTTCAAGAATTTCCACAATGTTGCTTCTTTTTGTTTTCAACGTAACTTCTTTTAAATACTCCATGGCGTTTCTATTGTCGTCTTGATTTATATTTTTTCAAATAAAGTGCCAACGTTCGCAAGATTTTAAGATCGATAAAATCTACTTAAAAAGTTTTGTAATGAGAACATAAAGGATCCCATTATCATTATACGCTATTATGTGAAAATCAGTTTTGTAGGAAAGTAAGTTTTAATGTGACCCATGAGAATCTCTTCAAGCTTAATTTTATTATCGAACTGGATATCGTTTGTGGTTTTTTATTTATTGAATCCACCCAGCATTTCCTTCTTGAGATTTCTATTCCCTATAAATAAATCGATTTAGTAGTCGACAGAAGTAAAATTTAAAGGAAACTTTTTATGTCGAGAATTGAAAAAAAGAACAGAAATTTTTATTTATTTGCTGGAAAGTCCCACGATTAAAGCTTTAACACATTTTAAATGTACACACTATAAACTTTCCCTCACATTGCTACAATGAAATTTACTTTAGATTAAAGTAATTTATGATTCAATTATACTTTTACGACATTTCTTTCATAAGAAAATGTTTGTTTAGTAGTTTGTTGGGATTGTTCAAGTCACTAAAATTGCATTGCTCCCCAAGTTGCATTTATGACACGTACAGCATGTTGTTAATTTTAGTTTAACTTTTAATCCATTGTTAGAAATCAATTAACAATTGTACTTGTTGAAGAAAAGAAATCAAAGAATGAACTGTGAAGAAGTTTTCAACTCTCAATGACTTTGATTTGAAGTGACACTTGAATGTTCTGTTGAAAGAAATCTCTGAAATAAAATTAGATTGTTTGTCTATCGAACTCAATAAATATCTAAAAAAGTCATCATTAAGCAATTCAACTTTATGACTTTCCATTACATGATTTCCTTTCAAATCATAATATATTTCAATTCAAATAGATTGTAATCGTTAAGAGAGATTCAGTCGTAGAAAAAATGAAATGGGTTTATGTTTTCTGATAAATTTTCATAAATGTATGAAATTATGTTTGACCTTATGAGATCTTTTTTATGCTTATTTGACCATCCATTCAGTGGGTATCTAAGCAGATATTAACAAAGTTTTGAAAAATATTTTTCATGTGAAAACAAATAAAGTTTGAAGGTCACTTGAGATGATTGCGAGAGCTTTTTTTGTTAAAATCTACGTCATAACATTTCATATCTATCTATGTGATAATTTTATAACATGAATTAGGATTTGGATTTAATTTTGCAACTCTAATTCAGTTAATTAAGACTCGCGTGGAAAGAAATAAATTTCCCATGATAAACTAAACTCGTGTTACTCGTGTTATTAGCAGAAGCATCCCCAGTGATCTCAAAGATAGAAAACTACCAAAAGTTCAACTTCAAAGGGAGGAAGGTTGAACGAAAAAAAAACCTTTGTGACTGTCACGTCTCTCAACATCTGATTGAAAATGGTTCGAAAACAAAAGTAACTTGTTTACGAGCACATAACGTTCTGTTTCTAACTCTGATATTCCTTCGATAATTGTTGTGCAACTTAACTCTCCTAAAACTTTCTCATCTCGTCGTCGTTACGTATTTTGGTTAAACACAAAAAAAAGTTTTTTTTCGCTCAACCCTACATAAGTAGTTCGCATGACGAGAAAAACTTTTAACTTATTATGCAAGGGAATGGAAGATGAGAATTAATTTTCACATTGCCCTTTCTCTTCACTAAGAATGTTTTTGTTGAGCCCTTCCAATGTTCAGTTTAGATTTGGACTAATGACTTTAACAAACACACATTAATTATATAAACATGATGGTTTAATGCTAAAAGGCATCAAGAGCAGACAAGCCATTAAGTAATTTATTATTGTTTGTGATCCAAGCAACCACTTTTCGTTCCCCGCGCGATGAACGGATGAAAAATTATGTTGTTTTAAAAAGCAAATAATACGTGGAGCAGATAACTAAAATGAATTAGATTATGGTAAGATTTTCATAGTTAGTTTGTTGACTTAAACTAAATTGTATATTTGTACTTTGCATAATTAAAAAAAGCACACAACACCATGAGAATCTAAAAAACCAGCAGAAAAATAAACGAATATCAATTACTTAATGCATTGCAGAAAGTTCTTAAAGTAAACAGAAAGTGGAAATTATTCCATTTAAAATTTGCAAAATGCGCCACTCCATGTGTTGATGCTCAAATAGATCAAATTTGAATGCAAATATTTACCGACTAATCATTTAATCGATTGAAATTTGGAGAAAAATCAATTTCGTCTGTTGTGGAAAAAGCCAAATTAATCCACCCACAAACAAGGTTATATGGCGCCTAAACAATTTCCCATAAGTGTGCTAATGATGAGCATTTGAATTTTCCATTTTGATGAATAGAAATAAGAAATTAAGAGAAGAAAATCTGCATTGAAATTTATTTATGAAGATGCTCCTTAAAAGAAAATATGAAAAGCGGAAAATTAAATTCTTCTTAACCATCAAGTCCTTGAGAATGAAAGTGAGTTTATGTCTCAGTCTCACGAATAGATTCACGAAGACTCACGTTATTATAAACAAAAGATTTATTGCTTTATTCTTCAACGTTTAAAAGCAGATTCTTCTAGGTTATTATTGTAACAATTTGTAATAAAAGAAAAAAAAAAAGCTTAAATTGAGATTATGAAGAAAAAGAAAATTCAATCTCGGATTACAATCTTTAGGAAAAGAAAAACCAGACGAAAATCATGTGCGAGAAACCCGGCAACTTACATTCATAGTTTAGTATCAAGAGAACGATTTGTTTAAATTATTTTTGTGGAAAGCGTTGTACAGTGTTTACTTTTTCTACACTTTAATGCTTTATGTGTAAGAAGAAACTTTAAAGACTTATTTCTTCAATATCAACTTACTAAGTGAATGAAGAACGCTGGGAAAAGTATTTTCCAATGTCTTTTTATACTTCCTTCGCCTACCCCGCAGCTTTGAACTTCAAAAACTTATTCTTGTCATTTTTTGGAACAATAAATAATAATGAACTTGCGAATTTCTCGGAGTCATGCAGTGCTGAAGAATTTAAATATACTCAAAGTAATTGCTTCGCTGCTTATATTTAACGTACAAACGGAAGAGTCTTCTTCATGTTTAGATATTTCTTTATGGGAAAACGAAGCAGATGTTTAGAGCTTTCTTCAACTCTTTTAGTCAAAATCAAGTTCAAGGTTGAGGAAATGAGAAAAGGAAAATAACAGAAAATATATCTTGGAAAACAACGAAATGAAATTTATTATTTTTATTGAAATTCTGTTTCTCTTCCGCTGTCACAAATCGCAGCAAAGATTTGGTAATTTATGTTATATTTATAACTAAGTCTCTCTCTCCACATCTCTCCATCTTCCTCCCCTCCCGCCCCTTTCGCTTCATTCAATTTCCCACGAGTATTTCAGTCATGGGGCTTTGTGCTTAATTTCTTTCTTGAGTGATTTGTGATTTCGGCCGTTTAAAATTGGTGAATAATGTTTGCAACTTCTTAGTATTTTTTTTTCTTATAGAAGTATGAGAAGATTAATGAATAGCTTTCACTCACACTTGTCTGATCGATGATTGAGGTCATGGTAAATTGGGATAATCCATTGAAAGACAGAACAAATAATAGATGACAGGAAAAGAGAGCTTCTTCATTCTTCTACCTCTCTCTCTCCTGCAATATTAATAAATATTTCATGAAAAGCAACCTAAGCAATGTCTGAGTGGTAATAAAATTTATTTACGAATATTAAAAGTCATCCACATCCTTTTTTTGCCTCGAATTATTTTTTATATTCATCAGATTTTAGGATTGTTCAACCCTCTAAATTTTATCAGTGTTCTCTGTCAGAAGAAGATTTTTGTGGTTACTCATTCAAATGATCAATTATTTCAACTCATTATTGTAAATTGTAAAATATAAAAGGCTTTTCATGTTTCATAATTTCTAAATTATCTGTTTAAATGCTTTCATTATAATTTCATACAGTCATTTAAATTAACTTTTGAAAGACTAATTGAATCCACAAGACTTTGATTCTTTGGGTGGGTTGGTTTGCACAAGGAAGCATCGCTAAAATTGACAGACATTTAAAAAAAGAAGTGAAAAATCCAACTGTTAATTACCGTGGTAATTACTCGAAAATGTATTCAGTTTGAACCTTTTTTACATGATTTTCTCTTTACAGCCACAACATCAAGCGGAATCACATTAAGCCTTTATCACATTACGAGCTCAAAATAATCATAACGTTTGCTTTCGACAGCGTTGATGCTACTCATCATTCTGTTATCGCTGACTGACTTTTCAGCAAAACAACATTTAACTTGATAGATGGAAAATTCATGCGAAAAAACGTTTTTCCCGGCATCATTAGGAAACTCTCTGAAATTTTCCTTCCAAGCTTGTTGATTATTTTTTTTCTGCTATCGCATTCATTGTGGTTTGTTGGGAATTTGTTGTTCAGCAGTTATTCAATATAAAACTTTTATTGGAGTCTTTGGTATGTTTATAAGAAGATTGTCACAAAAAAGATTGCTATAATTGCTTCCGTTAATGTTTCATTTTTTTCATCATATTTCTTTAATTGAACATTAGCTGAATGTCACATTCATCAATAAGAAGAAAGAAAAAAGAGTCATTTGTGGTTTCTAAGTAATTGCCTTCAACTTTTACTTCAAAGTTCGAACTCTTTAAAGAACCTTCAAGCTGTGATGGAGGAAATTGAAGAATTCTTCGATTCAGACGATGTTTCTGAACGAGAATTTATTCATAATATATTAATGTCCTTTGTTCTATCGTTAATGTTAATGTCTCCTGTGTACATCGCTCTTCATCTAATTTTATCTCTTTGGACGTTCAACTTTAATCTGATGAATCCAATTTGTTTATTTCTTTCGTTAAATGCTGGAAATTTTATTTGCAAGCGACTTTTATCAAGATTTACTGATCAACAACCCGACGATTTTGGATTTACAAGTGCACTTATGATAATCGTATCGATGGCAATAGCCGTTCAATATGCAATTCCCGAAGAACATTTCATTGAAGTAATTAGGAATCTTTTCCAAATGAATCTTGTTGGAATTTTCTTTACAACTTTCGTGAATATTCTTCTGTAAGTTTATGAATTTTCATTGAGTTATTAAAATTCAATCATATTCATTTTTATTTCCAGAATGATTATGCTAAGAATTGTTGTGTAAAGAAATTCAAAATTTAATATTAAATTAAATGATTAAAAGAAATCTCAATCTACGTTACAATTTCTGTTTTATTTTATGGAAATTAAGTTTGAGGAATATTTCATGACAATGACAGCTTACAAAATGCATAGCAATTAAATAATTTAATAACTTCATTGGCACTTTGTTAAAATCGCAATGTTGTTGATATCTGAACTTACACACATCCACAACTTTTAAATGAACAACTTTCGAACCACCACATTGTTCCACCATTAAATAAGGAATAATGTGTGATAATTTATTCATTATTCTAGTCTGGTAGATAGGACATGAAGTCACTTCATATTGTAAACTTCATTGAATGAATAACTTCCGCCATAAATTTCATTAATTTTATGACAATCATAAAGCTTTATGAAAATTTCCTTGAAATAGTTTTCTAACATAAGAAAATTNAAATTTTTCTTTCAGGTTATTTTTAATTTTTGTTTTCACGAAAATGGACATTTTCAAACTTCAAAAAAGTTCGGGACAATTGGTCAGATGAAAAACTACAAAAACAGAAATGTTCGTTTATTATTCAATTTTAATAATCTGGAAACAAAAATGCGTTCCGGGCCCTGTGAAAAAAGTTATTCCACAAAACGTAAAGGCATGTTTTGTGAAAATGTATGGAGATTTTGCTGTTTTTATCGAAAATCGGCATTTTTGAGCATTCATTTCTCTCGGGACAATTGGTCAGATGAAAAACTGCAAAAACAGAAATGTTCATTCATATTTCAACTTCAATAAACTGGAAACAAAAATGCGTTCCGGGCCCTGTGAAAAAAGTTATTCCACAAAACGTAAGGGCATGTTTTGTGAAAATGTATGGAGATTTTGCTTTTTTTATCGAAAATCGGCATTTTTGAGCATTAATTTCTCTCGGGGCAGTAGGTCAGATGAAAAACTACAAAAACAGAAATGTCCATTCATGTTTCAACTTCAATAATCTGGAAACAAAAATGCGTTCCGGGCCCTGTGAAAAAAGTTATTCCACAAAACGTAAGGGCATGTTTTGTGAAAATGTATGGAGATTTGACATTTTTCATTTTCTAAGCATTCTTTATGAAAATGTACGTGATGTAAAATGTCTCAAAATCCAAATTTAAATTGAAAATAACTTCTTATGCGGACATGTCATGATGTTATGATGTATGACAAAGATGTTCACAATAATTTTATCTGCATCTAATATAAAATGACCGATAGTCTAAACCGCAAAACAAGAGAAAAAAAAATTTTAGCGGCTTCTAGCGTCATCATACTGAAAAAAATATAAGAGACTAATGTGCAACATGGCTTAAGGAACAACTTTCCCAAAGACATCATATACCTAAAATGTATATTTAAAATTTTATTGACTTTTTGCACTTTTTGTTCCTAACCATTCCCAATGTGCAATGACAGCTTACAAAATGCATAGCAATTAAATAATTTAATAACTTCATTGGCACTTTGTTAAAATCGCAATGTTGTTGATATCTGAACTTACACACATCCACAACTTTTAAATGAACAACTTTCGAACCACCACATTGTTCCACCATTAAATAAGGAATAATGTGTGATAATTTATTCATTATTCTAGTCTGGTAGATAGGACATGAAGTCACTTCATATTGTAAACTTCATTGAATGAATAACTTCCGCCATAAATTTCATTAATTTTATGACAATCATAAAGCTTTATGAAAATTTGCTTGAAATAGTTTTCTAACATAAGAAAATTTACCGGAAAATTCACAAAATTTCACTTCATTCAATCTGATTCCAACCAGCTTTCTATCAAATTCTTATCAATAAGCTATTAGTGTCGATCTAATCTCATACGAAAGCATACAAGAATTGCTTCCGAAATTTATTTGCTCATTCGACATGCTGTAAATGAAAAAAAATTCATTCCCCATGGTATTTTTTCCTACTCTACGTAAAAGAGAAAATAATCAATGATTCAATGCTTATGTATGCTCTAAGCATATGAATGAAACATCAAAATCTTGATATTTACGAAAAATTTCATATAACATTCAATCTGCCTTAAGAACGAAGTAAATATTTTTCGAAATTTATTGTTGAATGAATTACTTTTAAGTGACAACAGGCTTTTAATTCTAAAGGCCAACTCCCAAGGAGCCATTACGTGCAGAAAATTTCAAATAATTCTAAAAACATTTTTTTCATTATGTTTATTTTTACTTTCTTCTAGAAAAATGATTTAAAATCTATTTAACATGTTTATGCTCTTAAATAGGCAATCATTTCTGCATAAGATATTTCGGTAATTCTTATTAGATTTCCTTTGTTCATTTGAATCACTTGGAGTCGCATTTCGCATAAGTAAATATGAGACCCTTTATAAAAGAAGAACTTAAACCTAAAGCTTCGTTGGTGATGTAAGATATCTCATGGTGCTTCAACTAAATTCAAAAAGGTTCATATTGTAATTGGAGATTTTATTCTCTTTTCGTTTAAAAGATCTCCAGCGTATGACCTTCATGGGACGATATCAATATCAATAATTTATAGAAATAAAGAAAGATGTGTAAAATATAATGTTACAAACAAACATGCGACGCAATATTTGTCGCTTTTGAGGATAAAATAAAAAGCAATTTCTAATAAAAAATCACAAATCTATTGACGTCAACGTTACCTATTGATACACAATCTATTTAGAAATAACTTATAAGCTTCAACTATGAAAGCCGTCTGAATAAAACTTATGCTTGGAATGGGAAAATTGAACAAGTTTTTCATGTGCTACAAATTATTCGTCCATTCATTGAAGAAAGCAGATGGATAATTTGATCCATCCCTTCCGGTAAACGTGTCTGAGTCTGCCGAATCATTCACAACATCGTCTTGTAAATACAAACATTTGTAGAAGCTTTTAAGAAGAGAAAAAAGAAGGCTTTGAATGTGTCAAGAAATATACAGAACCAATCTTCATGACAATATCAAAAATCATGAAATTGATTCTTTTCCATCGCATCAATCTCTAAATTTTTGTCTCGTCAACGAAACACTGAACCCTTGGCTGCATATATAGCATAGACATTTATATTTATGTTTACATATATAAAAGTTAATCGTGAGCTTCACAAACCGCTGAACATGGAAAAGGACAACAAAAGCTCAAATATTGTGATAAGAATAAGACTAATCCCGATCACATGGTGGCACCCACATTGAATTAACCTTCAATGAAACGTGACAGAAATTATGTCAACTGATTACAAATTGTTGTCATCCTCAATTGAAAAAGATTGTGTTTATGATATCAGGAAACCGGCGGATGCTATGTTAAAAGAATCTTGCATGAAAAGCCAATAGAAAAGATTCTTTTATGTATGTATCAGAAAATAAATTCAATTTTCGATGTAATTTAATTTTATTGCCAATGCCGAAATGTATAGCAACAATCGTCTCCGCAACGTCAAGCAAATATCCTGGAAATAAATAAAATAAATTATCTTGTGAATAAACAATTCACTTCGCTTTGAAATTTTTCATCCGAAAGAAGAACACAACAAAAAAAAAGCCGTTCAATTTAACAAAGATTATCTTTTATTATTTACAAAAGAATGGAGAAAGAAAAAAAACCGATGAGAGAATAACATTGAGGATATTTTTCATGCCTTATCAAAATCTAACACATTGATTTTGCATCAATCTCTTATCTCATATTGATGGATTCGAGTTCGTTTTTTATGCTTTCTTTTCTATCACATTCAGTCAAGAAGTATAAATTCAAAGAACATCACACATCTTTAAGATTAAAAAAAATATGTTTTCCTTTCTTAAACTTGAAGACGACGCTTTTTTACATGCAGCTCATCTTTTCATGATCGATCAAGCCATTCTCATCTCCGGAGCCATTTTGTAGCATGATTATCGTTGTTTCCGCGCCACGACTACATTAAGAGAAGAAGAATAGAAAATTTATGTTAAGCGAGGGAAAATCGTTGAAACTGCTTATGAATAAAGTTTTCCTATCAAGTCCTATCAAGTCGATATTAAATTTCCACATGAATTCACATGATTGTTGTTTTTCTATATTCTCTTGTTTAAAACGTGTTGAATTTACAAATTCTTCTTCACTTTCTCAACAATACAGCAGTTAGATTGTGTAAATTATCCGGATTGTGACAGAAGAAAAAAGCCAATTTTAACTACAGATCCATGTGGATCCATTTCTTAAGACAATGGCGACCGACCAAAACAAGAAAAAAATTTGTTCCCATTTTCCAATGCTTACGACAAAAGCCAGAATTAATGGCAATATTAGATGGTAAGAAAAACGAAAATTTTTGTCTATTTCACTTAATTTTATTCAATTTAAACAATGAGAAAAAGGGACGAAAATATGAATAATTTCATGAAAATGTCTTTGGCTTTTGTCGCATCTGATTTTAATGGGAAATGAATTAGAACATTCAAAAATTTGTCTCACAGCCTATTGTGCAATGATAATTCATTGAATTTTAAGTTTCGAAGCAGGTGTGCTGGTATTTTTGATGCTTTTAGATTCTCATTCTACTCATCAAATATGTAATTCTTAATGAATTTCTCCATGTTACAGCTACGTGCCAGATCCTTTATCTAACTTTCCGCAAATATTTTTCAGCTTTTCAGTCATGAAGAAGACCTTCACCTTCACGTTCTATTTGCTTACCTTCTCATACTTTGGTTGCCGAATTTTTTTGATGTATAACGTCGGTAAATAGTGGACTGACTTGTTATGGTCATCTCACGATGGACAGATTTATCACAAGCGTGACGACGAGAGCTTGATGAGCTTTGGCAAAGAAGATATCTGGGAAAAGAAGATAAATAAAAGAAAGAAACTTAAAAGATATTTATAATGTCAGATACGGTTTTAAATTAAACGCCTGTCACGAAATTTCAAACGCTTCCCAAATATTTAACAAAGCACCATTGTGATTTCCAAGCAAGGCGATTACTATTCAAAATGCTTTTAAAATAATAAATAAGGAATGAAAGGAAAAGTGTCTCCACTCACCTGTTAAAATGTTTACGAAAAGCGCCGCTAACACAATAAAGAGCAACCGGATTCGTACAACTGTTGGCAAATGACAAACAGAATCCAACCATTCGTAGTACGTGCCAAAAATCGTTATAGTCTTCCGCTGCGTGGGGACTAAAATGAAAGAGAAAGTCATGAAATAGAAGGAAGAGAGAAAAAAAGGGGAAAATTGAAAATGAAAGTCAAGAACATTTCGTGTTGCATTGACGTCAAAGATGAGCTAGTAATTAATTTCAATCTAAAGTCAAGAGTCCACTTATTCAAAAAAAAAGTGGAAAAAAGCAGTTCAGTGGCAAATCCAAGTACCATTGGATAACGTTGGGGAGATTGCAGTTATTCATGTGCCGAAAAAAAAGTATTATTTATATGCTTGAGGATGAGCCGGGCGGGCGTGTTAAGCAAAATGGAAAATATATGAAATAAATAAAATGTTGGCAATGGCAATAAAACCACATTCAACGAAGTTCATTTATATGAGGGATTTGAGTTATAGCTTTGAGGTGCCCTTCTGAGTTTTGAGACTGATGGAGGTAGCTTTGACTTATGTAACAAGCAAGAGAGAGGAAAGGCAACTTACTTGTAATAAAACCATATCATGAAGAGGTGAGTAGGAAAGAAGCAAATACCAAAAATCACGACAAATGCCAGCACTGTTATCGCAACTTTCCGCCGCGCTTTTACCTAAACAAGTAGAAAAAAAATCTCTCAACTTCTTACAAAAATTCATAACATTTAATGCGCGACCTGTCACGTTTATGTTTGATGCGAAATCACGTAAAATATTTTGATGCAGGGTGGAAAGGCAAACAAATTTGTTAACGCCATTTATGCACCAGAAATATATTTCTTTATATTCAAATTGGATTTGATTGCTTATTGTGTAGGTAGGATTGGATACATTAAGAATTACGATGCGTTTGAACATTAAAATTTCTTTTTTATGTCTACGAATGTTTTTGTTGTTTCATTTTATTTGAGAGGTTTTCATGAATTATTTTCCACATAAATTTCATAGTAATCCATTCTTACGTCATTTCTAAAATAACTTTTTTAGTAGAAATTGAGCTTAAAATCTCCGTAGAGATAGATAAAAGAATTTTTATCTGTTTCGGTTTGAGTTTGAGTGTTGAAAATTTCACCGCATCAAACCGACGAACCTGTGGCAATTCTTAAAATGCTAAAAGAATGTTTTATTTTAAGTTATGTGGCATGGAAAATTGTTTTTTCATAATCAAATGCCGACATTCCAGAAACCTACAAATATCTATTAAGCGTCTGCGTTGAAAAGATTGCTCTTTATACTACATGTAGACTACTAACATACATAAGAGAAGTATGTAGAAATGGGTGGAAGAATAAGATTTATCAAAGCAAAAGGCTTTTCTTTTTTTTTTCCCGAAAAAGAAATGAGTTAGGAAAAATCTTAGAACTTGACAGTGATAACTCGTTGATGGGAATTCATCTTGATCCCTATCAGTGAGTAATTTAGCTCTTAATGCAGCTGACTTATTCTATTAATGATGAGAATGAAATAAACTAAGCATGTGATAAATTATATTGGATGTACTTGGATGGAAGTAATTCAATTTTATTTTTATATCATTGAGAATGAGTGGGCGAATGAAATCTGTTTAGAGTAATTTTCTTATTCAGATAAAATTACATTTTTTTGTCTTTTCATTGGATGTCGAGAATCTTGATATCGAAACAAAACAAAGTGCTTTACTTTGTGTAAAAAATACATTATCTAAGGGAAAGTAAATCTCTGTTCGCATATGAAACAACAAAAGTGAATGGGAAAGGAGAAAATTTAATTCAGATTCACACGCAATAAATGTTATTTGTGATAAGATAACAATTCAAATGGTCGTTGTTATTACCTGTCGTTGAGCACCCTGAATCTCACCCGGAACATGACTAGCACTGTAGATTAAATGTTTTGCTATGAGCACGTAAAATATGCCAATGATAAGCAATGGAAATGCATAATAGCAGCAAAATCTAAACATCACAATAAACTTTGGATAGTTAGGCCCCCATTCAGAGGGAAATCTGTAGAAGGCATGCAAAATTAATGTTTATGTAAATGGTGACGAACAAACAACCCTCATGAGAGAAGACTTACGGATAGCAAATGTTGAATGTTATGTTATTGACATCCATAGACTGTGAGTAAAAGAATATTAACGAGTAAGTGTCACGTTACTTTCCCTGACAGCTGCTCTTTCATTCATACCTTAATGTGAGAAGCTTTGATTGCTGGAATTCCCATGATGCCAGCGAGTATCCAAATTAATACAGCAATACCGATTGTTATTCGTGTAGCTCGACGTCCGCTATGTGAATGAAATTTACGGAGTGGATCAACAATAGCGAAAAATCGATCTCCAGAGAGGGCTGTCAAGGTGAAAACGGATACGCCGATTGACAAGTCTTTGAAAAATTCTGATAATTTACAAATGAATTCTCCCCATGGCCATGAATCGAGTATGAAAATCGCTGAAGTAAATGGCACCTGTAGAATGTCAACAAAAAAAAAGAAGGGAAAAGGTATTCAAGATTTATTACCATTCAAACTTTTGACGAGACGTTTTTAAAGATATTTTTACCGTCGTCACAATCACAAGTAGATCTGCTATTGCCAATGATAAAATATATCTGAAAGTGAAAGTTTATATTTTAATGTAAATAACTTGAAAATTTTGCAAAATGAAAATTTGCTCTCTAATTGAAATTCTTTTCCTGAAAAGTGTTAATTAGATAGAAGAATTAATTATATTATCTGAAAAATTAAACTTCATTTCACGATTCCAGTTTTGTATACATGTAGAAAAACTTTTTTCTCTCATGATTTATGCGTGTGAAATTAAAATTTTAAAGAAGCAGAGAAAAGAGAAAATTTTCTTTAGTTTTTCGCAAAGTTTTTCCTTCTTAGTTTTCATGAACTGAAAAATAAATTTTACAGTCATTTTAATTTCTTTAGTTTAATCATTTTAATTAGCATATTAATCATTGTCGTAATCAAAATACAAAAATAATTTGTTGATTACAATCAATCATTTTAAGCAGCTTTGATATTTTATTTATGTTCGTAATGACACTCTTTAATTACTTTGAAGGAACTTTCAGTAAGTGATTAAAATAATTTCAATAAAACAGAAAATGGATGTTGAAGCTTTCAAAAGCTTTACATCTTGTAATAAATTAGAGATTGCAAAACAAACGATCTAAAATTACTTTCTTCAATAAAGAGATTTACTTAAAACGTTTATTTAATCAAAAGGTAATTTAAATATCTACAACTCAATGTTATTTTACACCTACTAACAGTCATAGATGAGATTGGAAGAATCTTCCTCGATCTAACGTCGTTGCTGTCTATAAAACTTCCTACATTACACGTTCTGTTTAAATATGTTCACAAGCGAGCAATTAGCGAACTTAATGCTTTATTTACAGCAAACTAATTCTTCCCTCCAGCTGGAGATTTTTATGATCAAACATTAATCTATCTAGGTTGAAATTCAAATAATTTTAAAAGATTTTATTGCTTTTGAAAGACAAAAATATTGTCTTTCAACTCGAGAGTCAAATATACTTAAAAGTTAAATTAAACTGCTGTGACATTTTCTTGTTACATGAAAAAGAGCTTTGAACAGTCAAGAGGACAGAAAAAATCGACTGTAATAAGCATTTCTACGAAAAAAAAAGAAATTATGCTAACAGGAGCAGAAAACTTTCTGAAATAAGCAATAAAGAATAATATTAAAACTCTCATAACCTTATCGCACGATGACTGGTTGATATTTTTATTTTGGTATGTAGATGTAGATAATTAACATGCAACAGTAAAGCGAGGAAATTTGATTGAATTTTTCTTCATGTTAACGTCATGAATCATGAACATATTTAATCTTTTGTATTCTGTGCCTTTGTTGGCTTGGATAATAATCATAAAAAAAGTTTCTTCCGGCCTAAGTTTCATCTTATTTGTCAGAAAGTTAAAGACCTAAGCTGTCAGTCAAAAAACGAGATAGTGAAAAAATGTGCAATGCGCCAGTAAATTTGGTAAACAACTAAACCCATGTTCGAGTCATAAAACAAAAAAGGTTGGATTTCTGAGTTACTACAAGAGGAAGACGATACAAAAAAAAGGGAAATGATGTTTACTTACGTATTTGGAACGTTTCTCATTGCACGATGTCTGAAGAAAATTAATATCAGGCAGCCATTACCAAGGACACCAATTATGAAAATGAGAGCGAAGATAATGGGCACAATGTAAGTCGCCAAACGTTGTTCATAGGGCGTGTATGGTACTTGTGTTGCATTGATTTCTCCACTTGATGAACCGTTTAAAAATTCCATTGAAACATTAATGCTTTCATCCAAGCTGCTAGTATTAAGATAATAAATTCCTTCGTTCATTTCCATACCCATCTTCACTTTGATTTTATTTTTATCTTCATAAGCTTGAACAAAAATTCACACTCAATCGAAGTCCTCGATTATCATCAGCTTTTCTAATGTTGGCATTCTTCGCATTGTTATTTTCCTCTCCTTTTTTATCGCTTTATACCTTCTCTTGAAATTATTTCACGGGAAAGTTACTAAAATTTAACAGCCTGTAAAGGGGAAGCATAAAAGCTCCGTTTATGTGTGTGTAGGCACTCGATAATAATTTGCCACTCGACATCAATTTCCATAAACTCTTTTATAGTTTATTAGCAAAAGTGGTTCCTGCCTTTTTCTTGTCTTTACTTTAATCAACAAAAATTTATAACGCACTGTACACGCAATACAACCTTTACAATTTTTTCTTTGTTCGTCTTGTCATTCCACTCAATTATCTTTCACTTTATCATTAATCTCATAATGACACATTTTCATTGCCTGTTAAAAAAAATATTCGATGATAAATTTTGTCTGCAAAGTTGAAGAATCTATTTAAGAATTATCGTTCTTTCTTTCAACGAACTCATTTTGAAGAAAAGCCATGAAAAGACGCTATAATTTTAATGACTTAAAGTAATCATTAGGGACAGAAGATTAAAATAAAGAGAGGGTTTACATCAGTAAGATATGTTTAACATCTTGTTTAAATAAATAATTCTTAACAGCGGTAAGAAGAAAAACTTCAATTTGGAAGGGGAAATTAAGCGCAAAACGAAATTATGAAGCGTCAAAAATCCTCTCAAGGGAGATTTGAACGCAAGGCTTAAGAAAACAATTTTTTCCAAACACCTTGCGGTGATTTCAAACAATCAATGAAACTTTTTCTGAGAAGAAATCTTTAGTGTCAGTTTCGAAGTCTTGAGGATATGGAAAGCAAGTTCAAGAGATGGAAATCTCAAGATCTTTCTTTCTTTTCATGTTAAGCTTTGCTTAAATATCGCCTGAAACTTTAAAGTTTCTTCGGTTGGAAGATCTGTATTCAGAACCACATAATATTTCTGTGACTACTTATCTGTTTTCATCATCAAGAATAAAGTTGTGGAAAATATGACAATAAAGAGAATTTTTAAAGCTCCATCTCGAAATTATTGAACTCGAAGAAAATCTTATCAAGAATCAGAAAATTAATTTTCTTATTTATCTTTTTAGCTATTCTTCCATCTGTCTAAACATTTGTGAATTTTCTTTTTTAAATCTAAAGTCCATAAGTTCACGAAACATTTTTTTGGAAGATAAAAGAAAATATTTGAAAATGTATAAATATCAACTTTCAATATTTACAAATTTTCTTCTATGTTTTCCCTGAAATTCGTTTGTATAAATAAACATTTTTAAGTATGATATTTTAAATTGTTTATTTTTTGCAATGAGTATTTTTAAAACTGTAATAAATCATTGTACTCTAGAGCGTCCTTTTATATTTTTCATATTGACTTGATAAGCTTCCAAAAAATTATTCACACATTAAAGAAGCATCTGTAATGACCAATGAAAGATAGCGTCTTTGATATCAAAGTTTTATTTTTTTTTCACCGACATTAACTCTGATTTATGCGTAAATTGAGCTTTTCCAGTGATGCTTAATTTATGCTTTTTCTATTTTTTTACTTTTTTTTTATTCAAATGGCTTTCAGATCTTTTTGTATCCAATTTTTTAGATCAAATGGAAAATTCACTTTAATCCTCTTTAGATATTTAAATTTCCATCAATTTATTTTTTTTCTTTTTATTATCTTCAGAAGCATTAATTTTTTTATCAACTGTTCACGCTCCTTTCTGTTAAGTGACTGACTAAAGATCCAACTGCAAACTGAGACATTTTCACGGAAAAATCTGACAATGTTTTGGAGTCGAATGTTGAATGTTTTGCAGAATGTTTAATGTTGAACTTGGTTTTCCCAACATAATGTTTAACCACCTGTTGGAGTTTACATTGCAAGTTTTGCAGTTCTTTTTACAAGCAAATATTTTCTTTTTCATTAACAGGATTCCATGTCCTGCCATATCAAAAGGTATCTTAATGTATTTTCAATTAAACTTTGCTCTCAATACCGATACTTAAAAGCATTCAAACAAATGTTCCATTTTAACTTGTTAATGGCTTCTTTCATGTTTGCGTTATTTATCTATTAATTTCCCGTGTTGACAGAACTAAGTAGAATATTGCAATCATTTTTCATATCGTTATGATGGAAGCTTTTCCATGGAAGAATGTAAAGGTTTAATTAAAACTTTTACAAGCATGAAATCAATGAAACTTCTGCATTATCAGTGAAAATTCTGAAATAAAGTTTGTGATAAACAACAGTTTGTGATATAACGTGACAATTTCTCAACAATAATTTATAATGAATCTCAAATGACAATTAAATCTGTTGTGCAACATCATTAGCTGCATTAAAAGTTAGTGCCATTGTAACAAGCAATATGAAAATGATAATGAATATGACTTGAATGAGACTTAATAACATGAATGTAATGTGACTTTCCTTCTGCATCCTTCTAGAGTATCTGCTTGGTTGATTTAACAAGAATTTATTTTTAACTACTGTGAAGTTGCCATGTCGAACATTACAGAGTGAAATGAAAACAAAGAGAGTTCAATTTTTAATCCTTTGAAAGCGAAAGAATTGAAGCATAAAGATGAAATATTGCTTCACTAATGGAAGGAAACTTCATTTATTTATGTTATGTTGGAATTTCTGAAGGGTTTTACAGCAGGAAATCGATTTGTGTCGATCAGAGTAACTCAAGAGAGAATCTTTTTTCACATAAAATATTTAAATTTACTTCTTTATGAATACATTAAACAGAAAGCTTTTCACAAATCAGTACTTAATGGAAAGTTTTAAGAAACATATTGAACAGATGAAATCTATAAATTTACAAAACAAAAATAATCATTCATAGTTCTGTCATGTACATGCTTCGTCTGATCACGTAGCATCCACACTTTCAATGTTGGTTACATTCATCTTAACTACTGGAAATATTCCATTTGTAGAGAGACAGACAGATGCTGACAAGTAATTTACTACAGAGATATAATGAGAACATTTTCCTTTTTATTCATTGCCAACATTATTCAAATTTTCTTAGAAAATTTCTTGACAATTTCAAGAATAATTTCTTTAATTTTTATCTTTTCAAATTGCTTTCTTGTGGTACTTTTTATAAATAAATTTCAAGTAGATAATTGAATCAGGTGTCTAAAACGCTTCAAGTATTCATGCAATTTCTTACGTGTTATTGGAGATTCATTGAGTGATGAAAGGAGTTGCAAGTCTTTTATAACGTTTATAATTAGATAAGCCTATTAACATACTTGTTTTGTCATTTAATATGACATAAGGTAATTTGTCAAAGAAGCAATTCCTGAATATTATTCTAAATTTACTCTGCTTTTTTCAAGATATCTCCCTCATTACCTCTGTTGATATCAAAATTCATTTTATTTTTTATCCCTTTTTGAATGTTAACAAGCAAATATTTTGTTTGATTTGCAGCCATTATTTCAAGCTGTGTTCGCTGTTATCGCTACCAAATAATGTTCTGTCTGTTTGCTGTTCCTTAGCTTTTTCAACAAGCATTTTTTCATACCTAGGGAATCGGAACCAACAATGAAAGCAGAACTTTTCAAATATTATGATTAAGAACAAAAAAAATTTCTATTTTCACATTTCGTTCATCGGCTTTGCGATATTTTCGTTCCAAACAGCAAATGTTTTCTTTTCTGCTTTGATGATTTTTTCAATCACATGTATTTCGTCGTCAATTGATCCAATGTCCTTATCAAACAAAAAAACAGCTTGCTGAAGTATTTGCTCTGCCTTTAACCTGTATTTCATTACAAAAATAAAGTCCTGTGTCATTGAATAAAAGATTTTCTTTCCCTACTTATGCTTTAGAAGTTGTTGAACTTCAACCGACATTCCATTTAATTTTTGATCATTTTCTCCTTTCAACGTTTCGTAATCTTTCTGGAGTTGAATAATTTTCAGCTTCTCAATGTTCTCGTTTTTCATTTCTTTTCTTTTCCTCTCTCGTCTAAGAAGAAAGTTAAACTAATTACATAAATCAAATATGTATAGAATAACTAACATCATGTCACTAATTTTCTTATTGTGCTTCATTTCTATTTGCATCAAGTCAGCTTTAAGCGATGTAATTATTTTATTTTTAACATCGAGTCCTTGCTTGAAGTCAACTTCCTTCTCTTCGATGACGATGGTTAGTTTTTCAACGTTTTTCTTGTTGTGATTTAATGGAAATTCCTCGAATATTCTTTCGGTTTCCTTTTTTCTATTTGTTGCTTTAACGTGACTTTCATTATTTGTCACAATAAAATAGTGGAAGAGCTCGTTTAAGTATACAATAAATATTTTACTGCTTGTGGCGATCTGAAAATATTTGGAAACAAAAGCACGTCATTAAATGTTTTATGGGTGTCAAAGACCTTTTTCAATTTCCCTTCAAAATATCAAATATTTTAGTGAATGGCTTACGTTACTCAATGAAATTCTTTTGCTGTCACATTCATCTAAATTCGTTTCTCGATTTTTATTTTCTTCTTCCTTCTCCAACAACACGCATATAAATTTATCTAAGAGTTTAAGGAAAACATTTTTTTGCTGCTCCAATTGCCAATCAAATGAACTTTCAAATTTCATCTCAATACTTTTATTTTTTATGCCGAATGCCAAAATTTCATTGTGAATTTGCTCGATTGACAATCCTTGTTGTAATATTTTGTAAACTGGTTTAGATTGGAAGAAATTGATGAGATTTTCATCAGAAAGGATACAATTTTTAAGTTCTGTCTTTGACATGTTTGTATGAAAATAAGAAAAGTTTGGAACTCAAAGATATCTAAGTTTTCTTGATAGCTTGGTTTGTCGTAAAAAATCTGACGTGACAAAGATTAAAGATCCACTCACGCGTTTTCATATCAGAATCAATTTCACTTCAAATCAATTTAATGTGTTGAAAGGACGTTTCAGTCATTAAATATTGCAACAAAAATAAGTTTCTTTGACGACATCTCAACAATTTCGTATCAACTCACACACCCAACCATAAAATTCTTACCCTATTACATGATTGAAGAGTTACGTGATCTGATGCATAAATGATGTGATTTAGAGGAAGATCTCTGTAAGAACTTGAGTAAGAAAAGTTTGCAAAATAGTGTCAATAGCCGTGAGGATAGAAATGAATTTTATTCTTCAACAATCATCTCACGTTTTTATGTCACTCTTGACTTGTTTACATGGAATGAAAGAAACAATGAATGATTTAAAATAAATAGATATTTATTACCATGAATATTGATAATCTTAAGAATCATGAAAGGCTTTCAGAAACATTTCTCAAACATCATTTTATTGTCATCGTTCAATAAATCTTTTGGTGTTTTTCCATGGCCATCAATTTGAGTTGCAAGAGCGTTCAGTTGATCAGAATTCAATCGTTTTAATAGAGAATCAATCAATTCTTTGTTGTTTTTCTCCGCTAATAAATGCAAGATGTTTTTACCGCCTTTCCAATTTGATAAAACTTTTTCCATTGAAATTCGATGAACAACAAAATTAAACGTAATTTCATCGTCCGATGATGCTATTAAAGCCTCTAAAAATCTTTCCTGTTCCTCGAAATCTTCAAAAAATTTTGGGGAATATTCTGATATTCTTTCAATTAATTTTAAATCCTTTACAAACAGATAAAAAAATTTTTGTAGGTTTTTCATGTCGACGAATTTTATAAGAAATTTAGCAATGCACGATTTGAAAATCCCAGTATGTGATGGAATCATAAAATCCAATGGTGTTAATCCATCAATATCTCGTATATGGGAGACCATCTGTTCATTCATAACTTCCTGAAGAATTGGATATTTCAATAAAAGTTCATCAAAACGGACAACAATATGAGAACGACACATTTTATGAGTTAAATTTTGTTTACGTTTGTTTATAATCTTGAAATCAATTTCATCATAATAATTTTCCAGGAAAAACTTTACAACTTCATCAAGACCGTGAAGAACAGCAAGACTGAAGAGAGATTCCTCATCGTTATTCTTCATATTAACTTTTATTGGAATTTTCCTTGCTTTCATCTTTTGAAGAGTCGACATTAAGAGATTACTTTTTCTGACATTTGATTCATCAAAAATTATTCGCAACCGAAGAATCTTATGAAAAAAATGATTTCCATTGTTATCGATAGCATCGAAACATAAATTTCTGTCTAAAAGTAATTCCAAATTCAAACCATCATAACCTTGAGATGTAATATGAAGAAGTGTTTGCTTTTCTCTTCCAAACTTCTCATTAAGTTCATCATCAGTTTCAAATTGTAATAGAAATTGAAATGCAATGTTATTTCTGTTTCTTGCAGCTAAAGTAATTGCTTTGTCTCCTTTGATGTCGACAATTTTTGGATCAATTCCTTGTTCTAATAAAAATGGAAAAATTTCTTCATTCTTTTGATTTGATGTCGCAAAATGGAAAATTGTTCGTCCATCGTTAGAAACTTTTTTACAGTCAGCCCCCATGTCAATTAATTTCTTTATCAATGTCAAATCTTCACAGAATGATGCTGCATACATGATTAGCGATATTCCACCCGTATCAACCACATTCACATCATTTATTGCGCAGTGTTTTGTTAAAGCGTCAAACAGAGACATTCCACAAGATACTTGGAAATTAAAATTAGCTCCTGCAAGGCAACACATGAATGCATTTGAACCACCATGAAAAGCGTTTGGATCGATTTTTGGTTCACACTCAAGAAGATATTTAAAGCATTCAAAATTCGATTGACAACATCTGATAGCGTAGTGTAATAAACGATTTCCATAATCCTCGATAATATTCAATTTGCATGAATTGTCGATAAAGAATTTCAATACTTTTTTGTTCGTTCTTCCTATTAAACTTGTAAGCAATTCGACAAAATGTTCGACGGCTTGAAACATGAAATTTCTATTTCCTGTTGCTTTCATCGTCAATTCATAAACATCCTCAACCAATTTAACATCTTCAAATGAATTCATAGCAAGAATATGAATTGGATAATGTTTTTGGTCATTTTTAATCGTTAAAAGTTTAGGAAATTTCTCGGCGATCTTTATGAAATGATCTTTGTAAAAAATGAATTCATTCTCGTTCGCTAGAATGTGTAGAATTGTATTTCCTTTTCCGGTTTGTGTAATCACATCAACTTCATTAATCGGAAGTTTGTGGTTTAAAAAATATTTATAATTTTTGTTTAAGGCAATCAAATGAAAGACGTTACTGGAAACGATTGGAACATCAAAGTTGATTGCATAAATTTCCTTCAATGAATAATTTCCAATTTTCAGCATTTCACCAACGATGAATTCGTAAATTTCACTGTTTCGTGATGTTACGGCATGCCATAAGAACGATTTATCATCAACAAATTCATTATTATAATATTCGATAAAAGCCTTAACAACTTCAATCCTTTTTGAATTGATTGCGTAGTGGAGTGGAAGTAAATTTAACCTTTTCATGTGTTTGTCAACAGTTTTGTTTGTTAAAAGTCTCTTGGAAACGTTGATCATTCCAAAATAAGCAGCTAATTGTAGATAAGATTCGCCATGTTTGTAGTCATCAGGATGAAATGGCCAAATAAATCTCCAATTAAGATCACATAATCCATTTTTTTGTTCAAGGTCTCTCAAAACTCTCAAACATGAATCATCTTTGTTTTGCAGCTGTTTACGAAAGTAAAAACATTTTGGCAGTTCTTGATTGTTTACTTTGACGAGGACTGGTTCAATGTCTGCTTCCGATGAGAATCTTTCAACACAACACGCATAAAACTCATCACTTAAATCAGACTCGTATGCCATGAATGCTCGATTGAAGTTTGTATCTTTCAACACTTCAAGATCACGTTCATAAACGTCGAGCAACATATTCACTAAATGTTCCTTCTTCGTATGAAGTGCGAAAAGCAGCGGTGTTAATTTCATGTCAGAGAACGTTTGATAAATATTCACATTGTTCATAATCGCATCACGAACATGCTTCACGTTTCCATTATTACAATGTCGATAAAAATCATTTGGTAACTCATGAAGACTATTACGCTTTGGTTTGATTACCGAAACTTGATGCATAATGTTTATCTTAAAAGCCTCAATTTACAATTATTGATATTAAATTTCTACTTATAGATTTTTTTATTAAATTTTGAAACTTATCAATTTTTTATTTTCTTTCCCAAACTTGTGAAACTGAAGTTCGGCTACAAACTTATAAGGTTAACTAACACTAATAAATGATGAAAAAGTTTTAATGTGTGTTAAATTTCCCGGCCGGCTATTTGCGTTTATTGTGAATTCTGGGTTTCTTTTAGAATCTTTCATTCTGATGAGCTTGAACTGGAACTTGAATCAGAGTCACTTTCACTGTCACTGGTATCACTTGAGCTTGAAGAACTAGAAGAAGAACTACTGCTGGCTGAACTTGAAGAAGAACTCGATTTTGATGATGCTCTTTTAGCTTTTTTGTTCACAGGTTAATCTGAACGAACTGTATCTTTGCTGCTGAAATTGAAACATTTAAAAGTAAGCAAATTTTAAATTTTGTACACTCACCTTGATTGCGGTTTTGTCAAGTTTTTATTTAAAATTTTTGTTCTCGAATCTCGAATGAGTATTTTTCTTTTGTTCTTACATTCGTATGTATAATGACCATAATCAAGACATTTCTGGCAATGAACTGTAGCGAGATCTCTGAAATATAAATAGAATTATTAAGTGTAAGAAATTATTCAGGATATTTTTTAAGTTATTTACACAGTTGGTTTCTTCTTCGGAACAATAATTTTTATGAGGTATTTTGTATATTTTCTAAGCGATTCTAGTTCTTAGTCAAACTTGATAAATTAAAATTATTGTTATGATTTGTATTAATTCTACAATTTAATAAAAACAGGTTTTGGGTGAATCTTTTTAAAGTCAATCTCATAAGAATGTTTGTTATTAGACATCAAAACCTCTTTATATCGGCGTTTTATGGGGATTTATTGAAATGTGGGCAATGAGGGTGTCAAGCTAAGATGGCTAAAATCCTCAATCTAATCCCGAAAGTTAACTTCCTTACAGGCAGGGCGTGCAGAAAATTTTCCCTAATAACTCTTTGATCAATCACTTTTGAAATAAGATATCTTGTAGATATCTAATTGGTAGAACCCCCAAACACAGATAATTTTTCTTAACACAGGTTCTTTGGTCAATAAAAAAATATGAACAAATTTTGAAAACAAGTTTTTACACACTTTAAACTTCCAGCTTTAAGATGACATTCTGGAATTTAATAAAAACAAATTTAGAATTCATATGAATAAGAGCTCTGTAAGAACTTGAGTAAAAAAAGTTGGCGAAATAGTGTCAATAGCCGTGAGGATAGAAATGAATTTTATTCTTCAACAATCATCTCACGTTTTTATGTCACTCTTGACTTGTTTACATGGAATGAAAGAAACAATGAATGATTTAAAATAAATAGATATTTATTACCATGAATATTGATAATCTTAAGAATCATGAAAGGCTTTCAGAAACATTTCTCAAACATCATTTTATTGTCATCGTTCAATAAATCTTTTGGTGTTTTTCCATGGCCATCAATTTGAGTTGCAAGAGCGTTCAGTTGATCAGAATTCAATCGTTTTAATAGAGAATCAATCAATTCTTTGTTGTTTTTCTCCGCTAATAAATGCAAGATGTTTTTACCGCCTTTCCAATTTGATAAAACTTTTTCCATTGAAATTCGATGAACAACAAAATTGAACGTAATTTCATCGTCCGGTGATGCTATTAAAGCCTCTAAAAATCTTTCTTGTTCCTCGAAATCTTCAAAAAATGATGGCAAATTTTCTAAAATCCTTTCAATTACTTTTAAATCCTTTACGAACATATAAGAAAATTTTTGTAGGTTTTGCATGCTGACGAACTGTATAAGAAAATCAGCAACGCACGATTCGACAATCAAAAGAGGTGATGGAATCATAAAGTCCAATGGTGTTGATCCGTTGTCATCTCGTTGTCCCATCTGTTCATTCATAACTTCCTGAAGTATTGGATATTCCAATAAAAGTTCATGAAAACGCACAACATTCCGAGAATAACACATTTGATGAGTTAAATTTTGTTTGCGTTTGTTTACAATCCTGAAATCGATTTCGTCGTAATAATTTTCAAGGAAAAACTTTAGAACTTCATCAAGACCTTCACGAGCAGCAAGACTAAAGAGAGAATCTCCATCGTTATTCTTCATATTAAGTCTTATTAGAATTTTCCTTGCTTTCATCTTTTGAAGAGTCGACATTGCAAAATGTGGTCGTCTCTGAAGCATCTGATGAATAAAATGATTTCCATTGTTATCGATAGCATCGAAACATAAATTTCTGTCTAAAAGTAATTCCAAATTCAAACCATCATAACCTTGAGATGTAATATGAAGAAGTGTTTGCTTTTCTCTTCCAAACTTCTCACTAAGTTCATCATCAGTTTCAAATTGTAATAGAAATTGAAATGCAATGTTGTTTCTGTTTCTTGTAGCTAAAGTAATTGCTTTGTCTCCTTTGATGTCGACAATTTTTGGATCAATTCCTTGTTCTAATAAAAATGGAAAAATTTCTTCATTCTTTTGATTTGATGTTGCAAAATGAAAAATTGTTCGTCCATCGTTAGAAACTTTTTTACAGTCAGCCCCCATGTCAATTAATTTCTTTATCAAATTTAAATCTTCACAGAATGATGCTGCATAC